TAGAGAGAGAAATTTACCCTCTCTAAGGTACTTTCCTGCGATATCCACTCTGTGAGACCTAGAATTCTCTTTGGAGGAGATCCACCTATGTGATGAAGATATGGTATTCTTGAGCCAAGATCTATGTTCTTGATGTTATTTTGATCCTCTAGTTCTTCTAGAGAAGACCTACTGTAAACCTGTTATCATCATTATTGATAGTGGAAGTTTGAGGTGGACTACGGTCCCGTGGTTTTTCCCACATTGGGTTTTCCACGTTAAAAAGATTTGGTCTCACTGTGTGATTGATTTATTGCTCTATTGTTTATGCTGTGCTGATTGATATTTTCATTTGGATATCAAGTTGGTATTTTGATGAGGAACCTATTTTGATACACAAAGAGGGAAAGAATTATTCCGCATTAACAGGTTTCTTCCCAACAGTACTTTCACTCAAGGGAGGCAACAATGACGCTTTTCACACATCGATGCATCCACCTTATCATAGACACTAATGAGAAACTGGCACCTATGCAATGACTTAAGTCTCTTACCCCCAAGGACAGTCCCAAGCAATCTACTCATCCATTGAGATGCTCTAAAATCTCACTCAACAAGCAGATACTAATAGACATGATACAAATCGTCACTCCTCTTTTGCCCTAGTTGGCCTAACAGGTGGTGTCGCCAACTCAACTACAATCCACGACTCTATCGCCACTAGCACCCATCGAGATTCCCTAACATGATATAGTGTGACATCCTAGGAGTGTATGAGGCTTATTGAATCATTAGCCAAGGGGGCTCTTCGATCGTGGATTTTAACGAATTGCACTGCCTTGAGTTTCTCGCTTGAATCCAATGCCCAATTAGCAGACTTGACAAAGAACTCTATATAGATCCAACTATAGTAATTGAATCAATGTTTGGAGGAGATGCGATGACAACTCCAACAGTCAAAATGGGAAGAGCTAGTTGACCCCACCTTGGGTTGGTCACCATTCATCCAAAAAAATCCAAGAGGAATTGATTCCAACGAGCTTCCATCTCCTGCCTTGGAAGCGTTTGATGGTTAGGCTGATCCAATATATCACACTATAGCTTTATATACTTAGATGTTGCTATATAACACCTTGGATGTCCTAATGTATCATACATTCTTAACCATGTTAAGAGGCTTAGCATGAGAATGGTACACTTACCTGGATGCGCTTTCCATTTGCTCTTTAGCCTATTTGGTGAGGGAGTTCAAACTTTACTTAATGCCAATGACAAAACTCCTTAGACTTTATCATTCGATTCACCAATGAGATCCGAGGTATAGTAGTTACTCATCCATCACTCATAATACAAACATTCATGATGTGGCTTAGGCCTTCTCATCTCTTTTAGTTACTGATAGAAAGACTACCAACAATTATACCTGAGATATTTAAAAAAGCCAATCTATCTATTTTTATTGAGAAAATGGTCTTGAACAAGAGTGAGAAATCATACAAGAGGCTGAAATAGGAGCTGCCATAATCAACCCTAACACCAAGGTCACCACGACGAAAAAGAAATGAACAACTCGAGTTACTTCGCCCAAGGTTCGAGATGACCCTCCTAAATATAATTGAACTAAAGTTTTTCAATAGATAAAATAGAAGGGTCTCTTATGGGATCCTTACTCAATGAATACCCTATTAATGAAAAGAGATAGATCTAAATACAACTGGTTCTACCGAGATTATGACTACAACACTAAATATTATTGTGACTTGAAAGAGTAATTTGAAGAACTCATATGTCAAGGACACCTTAGGTGGCTTGATCGAAAGCATCAGGAACCCTCACCCTGATTTCAGATGCTGGTGGTGAGATAGATTGATGTTTTCATTAGTAGACTTACCTTGAGAGGGATAACTCCTTAGTTTGTAAGGCTTATGCTCAAACTACCATTGAAAAATGCCCAAGGACAAAAGGTAGAGTACCTCAACCCAAATCATGATGATGCCTTAGTGATTTCTATAAGAATGATCAATACCTAAATAAAGAGAGTCATAATTAACATAGGTAATTATACTAATATCCTCTGCTTTGATACTTTATGAAAGCTTGGGCTATCAACTAATGACCTAACCTCAATAACTTCTTCACTGATGGCTCCATCTTGTCTCTCGAGACTATGAACCCGTGTGTCACATTCAAATACAAGCTTTGCTCTAAAACAATATTGACTAAATTTGTGATGATGGATGTTTTCTCAACATATAATGCAATCAAAACCGACCCACACTAAACAGATTGAGGGCAGTGGTGTTGACTTGTCACATGATGATGAAGTTTTTGATGAGGGTAAGCATCGAAGAGTTAAGACGCAATACAAAAGAGTTATGCTAGTGCTACATAATATTTATAAACCTTATAGCTTGTTGCAACAGTTGTTTCTTAGGAATCATATTTGAGTCAGATTGCTATATAGCATAAGAAATCGTTATCTTAGAGGAATCAATGCATCAGAGAGGAATAAATGCAAACCCCGAGAACGTTAGAGATGGATCCATCTCAATTAGTAAGGAAGATTCAACAGTAGTTAACGAGTTGGCTAGCAATGCTCAATCAATTTTTATCCCGATCCAACAATAGGTGTCTAACTTTCTTATAGACATTGAAGAACCCAAAGAGCTTTCTATATACCGAGGAGTGCTAGAATATATTTAAGAAGTTGAAGGGTCACCTCGCTAAGCTACTGCATCTCACTTGCACTATCTCGGGCGAAATTCTAAGCCTCTACCTTATTGCTATTGACCTAACTATCAACTCGATGTTGGTATAGGATAACTCAAGAGTTGAAAGACCCATCTATTATGTCAGTCACATTCTGAGTAGACCCAAAGAATGATAACCTCTATCAAGAGGCTTACATTTGTACTAGTTTTAGCGACAAGGAAGCTCCACCCTTATTTTCAAGCACATATTATATAGGTGACCATCGATTAGTTATCGAGATAGGTTTCCTCTCGGTTCGATGTCTCGGGTTAGTTGGTGAGATGGTTAGTAGAGTTGGAAGAATTTGACATCTGATATATCTCGATAACTGTCATAAAGACCTAAGCATTATCGAACTTTATCTTAAAACTAACTCCTCTTTTGTTTGAGATTGACAAGCACACTCTACTTCCTCTTTTGTTTGAGATTGACAAGCACACTCTACTTGCATTGACATTGTTCGTAGATGGCTCCACACTTCGAATAAAGATAATGTTGAACTTATCCTGAAATGCTTGGACAAACAAGTTTATGAGTAAGCTCTCTAGTTTGGGTTTAAAATATCCAACAACGAAGCCGAGTACGAGGCACTTCTCTCGGGGCTTTGGTTTGCTCGAGAACTTCAACTTCACGATTTCTTTGGTTCTCGTTCAAAATCTCCAATAACAAAATCTCTCCTAACCTTGGTCTTCGTACAGCTAGCATTTCAAGAGCTCGATATTTTTATTTTATAGATACGTTCGACAATCTCACGCATATGAGTTTGGACCACGTCAACCGAATAAGATACCAATGATATTTTTTCTTAACATAAATAATCATTTAAATTTGGCTCAACTTTGAATTTCATACTTTTATTCTTTTTCATGATCATAACTAGCCGACTAATCTGATCAATCATTTTGTGTGATGTTCCACCGCACCGCAGAGGTAGAGCAAACAGTACTCAGCATTTGACCAGCCGTTGAGATCATATGACAATAGAGGCCAAGATTAGTGGCAGGTCAAGCAGCAACAATAAGAAGCAACAAATAAACTCATGGACTTCACACTTCTCTTCGTATAAGACTCTAATCAGATCAACACAACCAGTGATCAAAGATTTATTAAAACATATTCTTGTGTAAAAGATAAAGATAGTTAAATTGAGATGAAAATGCCATACTGATTTGACTCATAACTCAATAGTTTAAGCTGACCGCACGTGTGGATGCTCTGCGGTCATGAATCCACATAAAAGGATGATGACCAGAGGCTGCAGTGGCGATGCAGCACTGCGTGTTCATTTGCTATATGCACAGTATACTGCAAAAGGATAATATACGTATAGACTGATGAATCATATACATTTATTTTGTGCTCCTCAGCAGGCCACGTCTCGGTTACTCTGAGACCACGTGGCCAACGTCGTCTCCTCCCAAAATTCCAGAGACCGATAACACGTGTTTTGTACCACCTGTCTGGTGATTTAGTTGCTTCAGTAAACCTCCATTTCCCTGACCCAAAGTTGGATGAGCCGTATGCATGCGTTGTGCATGTCCATCTCCAAGGAAACAAAGTTGACGTGATTTGACAATGTACGTATGTCTTTTTTATGCACAATGTACGTATTATCTTGTTTATGTTTTAATATTTTTTAGATGATTCGTTTTGTAGGAATTGAAATTGAATCGTATGGTCCGATTTTGATTTGATTCGAAACTATCAAATCACTCATTCGATTCGGTTCTTTAGGTTCAACTTTCCACTTTGCGATAGCCCCAACACAAATAGAGTGTTCCCCACCCGGAGGAGTGTGAGCATATCCAGCAGGAGACACGGATGGGACCTGTGAGCAGGAACTCATGGAGATGAGCAGAAGAAAACAACAACTCATGCCAACATGTAGAATGATAGCTAAAAATGATATTCTAAACCGGCTTATGTAGGAAATATTATTACAAAATGCTCAAATGTAGAATCATAGCCATCTGTTTTGTCCTCAATCATCTGAAAATTTTCCCAACTCTACTTTGAGAGAAGGAAATCTACTCGAGTTGGGAGTTGAGAAAGCGCATCTTCTCGGCATCACGAACACATGGCTGTGATATTGTTAAGTTGATTTGACTCCTGTAGTAAACATGCCGTCCTCTCTGCGGTGGTGAGCGTCGTTAAAAAGGGGTGAATCTCCACCCCTTACCATCATGCTGTGGAAGGTTTGAGCACACAGTCTCTCTCCTACTACCACCTCTGGCCTTCAAGAACCATATGTCTTCTTGTTCTGGTTCCTTCACCTCAGGGATGTCGAGGTCCCGCCGTTGGAACGACTCCGGCGAGCTTGATGTCTTCGAGGCAGCACTCTACTTTTCTGGCGAGGTTACTGATGTAGATCTTGGACTTCAAAGAGCCTGGAGAACTGAGAGGAGGGGTTCGGATACACCCACGGAAGCCACACTCTTCCATCAGCCCCGAAAGGTTGAGAGTCGATTCAAAGACAAGAAGCACAAGCAACCCTGCTCCCCTGGTGGCAAGTTGGCCAACCTTGTGAGCTCCTTCTTCCACCAAGCAGCTTCAAAGAAGAAATCAAAGGCCGTCTCCCCTTCGCAGTCATTTAAGGAGGAGTACGGGGAGAGGCTCTTAAGGAGGAGGAGAAACAGCATCAACCATCCAGAGATCATGACAGGTAGAGACTACTCCAACTCTATCTTTTCTTCTGACAGAAGAAGTGGGACTGGAGTCTCTTCCCCTTACCCTATTGTCCCTTTAAGCTCGGAGCGAGAGAATTGGTACGATAAGAGGGTGGCGGGTGCGTTTCTGTTGGCCGAGAGATCGAAGCTCATTACTGATGGGTTTGCCGGGAACACATGGGTTGAGAAGGGAAGCTATCGCATGCTACATAACAGGGAGGCTCATCAGTGGGCTGAGGCGTTCATAGAAAAGGAAGACAAGTGTAGGAGAAGAGAGGAGGAGGAGGAGGAAGAGGACGATGGGGGGAGTGATTCCAGCTCAGACCTGTTTGAGCTGAAGAGCTATGACTTGGTGTTTTGATAGCTCAAGTTGACTTCGTTTCACTTTGTTGTTGAAACCATTTTCTGTTCTATGGATTGTCTCTATGTTGGATTTCTTTACTTCATATCTTCCCAGCTGGTCCTGCAGAATGTGATCGATCACTATCTTCCCGAAGTTCGTGTCTTCTACAGGTGTTGTAGAACTACTGCATCATCTTCCCAAATGGGACAACCAAAATGTCACAGTAAAGGACACAAGAAAAGAGAAATATATGAAAGCTTCCACAACTAAAATAAATCAACCCAAGTATTCCTCGACAGGCTTATGTTGAAAAATAGATCAAACCCAGCCTCTTCCAACACTGTTAGTACAAGTTTATTCAACTCCAATTGTAGTGTTATTCCACAGAATACAGTATTTTTAAGCCAGTACAAGTCGCAAGAAGCATCCATGGCGAACACCAAGAAAGAATGCTTCCAAGAGTCTCCTGACGGTCCATCTCCAAGCGAGCCCAACAGATTGCAGGGGGGACAAGTACCATGATACTGTACTATCATGAAAGGCTCCCTGTTTAACTGTCCAAGAGAGAGTGGGGGCAATGCAGTGCTAATGCCACACATTTCGCTATGCTTTGATTGCTGTCCCAAGGATGATGCATCGCAGAAATGGCACAAGAGGAAAAGGCCAATGGCTGACATGTACTGCAAGGTTTTCCTATCAAGATGTGTATGAATCTTGATTGCATATCTCCGGCTACAGACCAGGGTGCAGGGGAACTCCAGGAACGAGCCATGTGGGAGCTCATGGTTGGTCCGAAGATTGCATGCTGATGTCATTCGTTCACCACCTAACCTACACTGTATCCAATCTTTGGATAAGCAATGATGATAGACTCTTATCCTAACGATGCATGCATTCATCACAAGCATTTGTAGAGTATATATAAGAGCGGGAAAATAATCACGACTCGTTGTAGTCAACATGGTGAGATCGAGTTCCGGTCAATAATTGGGCTACGTGGACATCCTTCTGATTAAATTTATTATAAAAAATATTATTTCACGAAATTTAACATCACTTATATTTTACTAAAAAATTTCCGTTTGATTTCACCACTAAAAATTCACTCTACTTTGATCATTGTTTATTGTACTACTAAATTATTATGATTATAATTATTTATGATACAATTTTAAATTAAAATATTAATAGTCTATAAAATTGAAGTTGTTAGGGAAAGGTTGATAATATTTTGCCTGGAATGCGGCCTTCCACGTACCGTTATTGAAGTAGTTTGCATCGGGCGGTCGCGCGGGAAAGACCCAACGGCCGTCCAGGAATCGGAGGAAGCGGGCAACCGCCATGTTGTAATTATTTTTCCTTTTTTTCCTTTTTTTTTTTTTTGCTGTTAATTTCCTCCGTAGAACAGCAAGGATGGAGGATCAGAAATAGGAAGGCCAAGACAAAAGAAATCTAGGGTTGAGTTGGAGCGGGTGGTGGTTGGCGAAGGATGAAGACGAAGCGTCTCGCCACATCTCCGCCCTCTTCCTTCCTTCCCTGAGGAGAACCCTTTCCGTCTCCCGGCAGCTCAAGCCAACTAAAGAAAAAGTACCCCTTTTCTCTTCCTCCTCGACAAGTCGATCCTTTTTTCTTTTGGCACCGAAATCCGATCTCCGTATGCGAATTATTTCTTGTTTTGCGTTCTTAATCCGGTCTTTGTCGGTTCTTTAATCATGTAGAACTTCGTGTTGGATTTGCTTTTGGTTGATATGAATGTGATTCTTGAGCTCTTTGCCACCTGATTGCGAGGAAGAAGACGAAGAATTGTTTGGTTAATATGCATGCTTTTGATGGCTTTGACGTCCTCAGTGCGTTCTGCCATCCGCAGGTTGGCGTAGACGGGCAGCCGCGAGGTGGGTGGAGTGCTCTGCGCTCGAACTCCATCCTCGCAGAATGGATTCCTCCCCTGTGACCGCTCCGCCACTCGACGACTCTTCTGTGCCATCTCCTCCCACGCCTGCCGCGCCTCCACCATCCGATTCCTTGTCCTCATCGCCTACTTCCGACTCATCGACGTCGCCGTCGTCACAGCCACCTTCCAAATCCGAGTCGGATACTTCAACAACCAAAAACTCTCCACCTCCTCCGTCGTCCTCCTCTTCCCAGTCTCTTCCTTCATCCCCACCACCATCGTCGCATAAATCCTCCTCCTCCTCCTCTTCATCTCCATCACTGCCATCTGAGTCAAGCTCGCCAACAACCCCGTCCTCGTCGGACGCATCGTCATCGCCAGCCTCAAGAAGCCCCTCCAAGTCGCTTCCTTCGCAGACATCGCCACCGAGCAAGGATTCAAGCACACATCGGACGAATGACTCTGACGCGAATCTGCCCCTCATTCTGGGGGTCACCGTAGGTCTTGGGATATTCATCATGTTGATGATCGTGTCTTTTGTGCTGTGCACTAAGAAGAAGAAGAAGAACCCCAACCATGTCATGCACTATTATGATGCTCCAGGGCCCAATGGTAATGTCGAGAAGCTCCCGAATAGAATCCGTTGCCTCAGGTATCCTTGAATCGATTTTGATGTGTTGTGTTGCAGGTGGCTTCTACAATGGCGGATCGCTTCCAAGATGGCAAAATGGAGCCCAAGGGATGGACTACGGTGGCAAGATGCCCCCACCTCCCGGAGCAGCAATGTCACCCGGAGGTGGTTGGCATCAGTCGCCACATCCACCCATGATGGCCAGCGGCGACATGAGCTCACTCTACTCTGGCTTCCATGGGCCTCCATTGCCGCCCCCTTCGCCTAATGTGGCCTTGGGCTTCAACCAGAGCACCTTCACCTACGACGAGATCGCAGCGGTGACAAATGGATTCTCTCGCGACAACCTCCTGGGGCAAGGCGGGTTCGGCTACGTGTACAAGGGTGTGCTCCCGAACGGGAAGGAGATTGCAGTGAAGCAGCTCAAGTCCGGCAGCGGGCAAGGGGAGAGGGAGTTCCAAGCAGAGGTTGAGATCATCAGCAGAGTCCACCATCGCCATCTGGTCTCGCTCGTCGGATACTGCATCGCAGGAGCGCAGCGGATGCTGGTCTACGAGTTCGTGCCCAACCAGACTCTGGAGTACCACCTGCATGGTAGCTGATAATGGAAGAACACTCAAGAATCATGTCAACTGTATACTTCTTGTAAATTTAGATTCGATCTGATGAATTGCTGTCTTCAATTCCAGGAAAGGATCTTCCAACAATGGATTGGCCTACGAGACTCAAGATCGCTATAGGATCAGCGAAAGGCCTCGCTTACTTGCACGAAGACTGTGAGTGCATTATCTTCTTCTCGTGTCCTCTTTCCCCTCTACTTGCAAGAAGTTTCCCAAATTTCTGTATGTGATCTTCGTGCAGGCCATCCTCGAATCATCCATCGCGATATCAAAGGTGCCAACATTCTCCTGGATAACAAATTCGAAGCCATGGTAACTCGAACCAACCTGTTCTCGTAGGTTGGTGTTCTCTTTCCTTCATAAATTGGAACAGAGTTTGATTTCCTAGTTTCGTCGAATCTCCAGGTTGCAGACTTCGGATTGGCCAAATTGTCTTCAGATACCAACACTCATGTCTCAACTCGAGTCATGGGAACGTTCGGGTATGAGAACACCAACTCTTCTCCTCTGTTTCTCGAGTAGCTATCACAACAGCATGGTGATGCTCTTTGAACCATGTAGATACTTGGCACCTGAGTACGCATCGAGTGGGAAGCTGACGGAGAAGTCCGACGTCTTCTCCTTCGGCGTGATGCTTCTGGAGCTGATAACGGGACGAAGGCCCATTGACCTTACGGGAGATATGGAGGACAGCTTGGTCGAATGGGTCAGTCTCCGCCCCTTGTTTGAGACACTGCTCTCTGCTGTAATTGGTAATCTTCAACTCTGTTCGAGCAGGCGAGGCCTCTTCTGGCCCGCGCGCTGGCCGACCAAAACTTCGACGAGCTCGTAGACCCGCGATTGGAGAACAACTACGACGTCGGGGAGATGTTGCGAATGGCCGCGAGCGCTGCTGCCAGCGTTCGGCACTCCGCAAGGCGGCGCCCGAAGATGAGCCAGGTAAGGCGCATCGACACTGCCATGAAATCCTTCATTCGTGATGGATGATGATGATGATTGCAATGGGAGCAGATTGTTCGAGGGTTGGAGGGCGATGTATCACTGGAGGACTTGAACGAGGGGGTGAAGCCTGGGCAGAGCACGATCTTCAACTCCAGCTCCGACTACGACTCCGCCTCCTACTCCTCCGACATGCGGCGGTTCAGGAAGCTCGCGCTGGAGAGCAATGACTACAGCAACGAATACAGTGGAGCGGCGAGCGACTACGGGCTAAACCCGTCCGAGTCGGGCAGCTCCGGCGAGATCAGCTCCGCCAGGGGCCAGAGAAAGAAATCTCAACCTACTCTCGGAACAACTTGGGAGGATTAACACATGGAATCAGCGAGCATGAGTTGGTTGAAATCATTGGGTTGATGTGTCAATGAGAACGATTTATCTACTAATTCATCAACAATGGATTCGGATGTGTGATCTGATCCTGTTGCCAGCGGCTTGATCACACTCACAGTCATGTCTGAGGTTAGGAAAAGGGCGAAGAATTTTCATTTTCTCACCTCCGTTCACCTCAAGATCATTTTCTTTAGCTCGAACATGTGACTTTGTTCTTCCTTTTTTCTCTCTTTTTCCATCAAAAACATAATTATATCATCTCCAAAAAAAATCATGCTTAAATTGACTTAGCAAGTACGTGGATTAGCTTATGACATAATTAATTCATCGATAAAGCTTGTCCAAAACCATATGATTTCCGATTGGATGCGACATGGATAATCTCCGTAAGTTTCCAAGTGAACGTTCGCTATGCGAAACTCCTATTGAATTGTTTATTATTATATATAATAATACAACTTAGCAAACAATGTAAGCGCGTTTGTAGTCCAACGGTTAGGATAATTGCCTTCCAAGCAATAGACCCGGGTTCGACTCCCGGCAAACGCAGTTAATTTAAGTTCATTTTAACTTTGCAGTTTATTACTAATGGATCATTTGGTCATGTCACAAATTTGGTTTTGTTTATTATGACCAGTACATAATTATCTAATAGTGCATGTTTCTGTGGCTGCATGAATTCACACGGCGAAAGGGTAAACTGAACCCGTTGCAGAAATGACATCAGCCATCGGAACATTGGACCGTTTGTGCTCACTGAAACCACTACATTTGGAACAACCCGTCTCCGAATTCGCGCTACGTTAGCAGCAGCATCACCGCAACGTACTGGAAGAGCAGACCCATCACCGCAGGGGATCCGACGGCGCTTGGAAGGTAGCACCGCTCCCCGGACTGCATCGGACGGCCCTCAACTCTCGCCTGCACGGTGACCACCGGCACGCACGTCTCGGCCGATTGCGTCCACCCCGGCGACGCGCTCGCCTGCGAAGGAGCACTAATACATCAACCAGCGGACGCCTAGAAATCTCAAGTTAGAGAGTGTTCTTCGAAGTTGGTCTTCCATCTGTTACCGTGTTGGAGATCGACGAGCTGGGCTTTGCGAGGCCGGCGTCGTAGTTCATGGTCTGGTCGGCGCGGTAGAGGCCGAAGGAGCGCTCGGAGGTGGGGCCGGACTTGAGGTCCTCGTCGTAGAGCGCGAAGATGTACGTCTCCACCGAGCGCCCGGGCATGAGCGGCGTCCCCGCCAGTGACCGGAGGTGGGCCACCAGGTTCCCGTTGAAGGCCATGGCGTTCTCCACCGTCGTCCCCACCTCGTCAGGGTCCCCTCGGTAGGGCCACCCCGTCTCCGCCACCACGATTTCAACCTCCGGGAACCCCAGACCGTCCAGCGCCGACCGCACGGCGTCCACCTGCGCGTCGAACATGTTGGTGTACGTGAGCTTCGACCCCGCGTCCAGGCGACCGGGGTTCGGCTGGAAGAGGCAGAACGCTAGCGTCTCCGGCCGCGGGTCGCTGCGGTACGCGAAGAAGGGATAGGGGTTGATCATGAAGGGCGACCCGGCATCGCGCAGGAAGCCCAGGACCCCGGTGAGGGAGGCGGCAAAGTCGGGGTGGAAGGCGCCGGAGGAAGGGGGGTCGGACTGGGCGAGCACGGCCATGGAGTGGACGGTGGAGACTTTGACGCTAGCTGCAGCGGCGGAAGCGGAGAGGGCGGTGCGGAGGTTCTGCATGGCGGGGAGGAGACCCGACGCGAGGGAGGGGTCGCCGGAGTTGATGGCCTCGTTGCCGACAGACACGACGGAGATAGAGGAGCTAGGGACGTAGGGGAGAACATTGACGGCAGCCCAGTTGGCGGCCGCAGACGGATCGGAGGCGAGGGAAGGGATGTCGGAGTTGGACACGCCGAGGACTAAGGAGATATCGGTGCCGGCGAGGGATTGTATGATGGCGGCATCGGCGCCGTAGAGGCGGAGCTTGGAGATGGTGGTAGACTGCAGGAGCTGCGCAGTGGCCGACGCCGGCGGGAGGTTGTCCGCCACCTGCCCGTAGTTGATTCCAATCATGGACTGCGACTCTGTCAAGACTGTAGTGTCAAGTCAAAAGTGGACTCCATTGATCAACAACAACTTACGAGACATTAACCAAACTATAATTACTTGCAGAGGAGAAGACATGAAAGAGTGCAACGAGGAGGAGAAGTTTCCTCGTCTCCATCACCCCAGGGAAGGAGCAGAAGGTATATCTCAGATCTCTCCGCAACCTCCACTGTTGCGTTGCAATGACACTTTTCGCCGAGGTTTATGTACGTATCAGCAGGTAGCGTGTGCGTCCAGAACACATTACCGGAAGCTGGTGGCTCACAGAGAGGCGAGAACGAGAGGCAGCCGTGTCAGCCGGGGCGTGCCGGGCCACACTCGCCGCTTCCAATGCTCTCTTTACACACGTCGCAATCAGACATTACGTGTCGGCAAAGTTCGTCCATTCTGAAACAAGAATTATTAGGCATATAAAACTGAGTCTCCTCATTTTGCAGAGTTCCTCCCAATTTATAGAATATAAAATATTGAGGGTAAATTACCTAAAAAATTAAATTTTTTTTCTCGTTGAGCATTCTATTTTTTGCATCTTATTTTCTAAAAAAATTAAATTATCTTGACCTTTGCTTTATCGTGTTGCTTATGTCTCTACCTCTCGTTCGTTGTTGTTATCATGCCCTCACCCTTGAGCATGCTCTCATCTATCACCTTCGTTTTCATTCGTCATTATAGATGTACTAGCTACTAAGGCCTCATTGCAAGGTCCTCGCCCTTCATCTCTGTCATGATCTACTGTCGTTATTTTTCTCTTTTGCCTTTGTCTCGGAAGTCTCGGATAGTATCATCTTTAAAGAGAGCATCTTTTATTTAAATAAAAATAAAAGATGCTTTATGTTTGGGAATAAAATAAAAAGAAAATATTCTTCGAGAAAAAAAAAAAGAACGTGAGGTTTTTTTGAAACTTTATCCAAATATTAATGCAGTTGACATTCGAAGAGATATGTATATACTGCAGCAGCAGAGGCATATTTGGACATTAAAGCTCGAAGAGAGCTTTAAAGCAGAGGCTGCCGTCACCTCCCAAGTGAACCAAGGCATGGTTCGTGGAAGGTACGGCACACATCACTTTCCATCCCCTCATCAAGAGAGAAAGAAATGATACAATAATGGAGGAAGGAGCTTTAATTGCAGCGGCAAATTATTCATGTATTGAAAGATTAGATGATTGACCAAACAAGAACCACATGTAAGGAGTAGTTGATCGACGTGTGGCTCTACTCACCATTTTGAATCTTAAGGACCATCGAGTTCCTCCTGCAAGCAGTTCACCAACAACTGGGGAGCGATCTATGGAGGCAAAAGAGAAAGCCAGTCAGTGTTCGATTCATTAAGCCCGAGAAGTTGATGTTTAAAACACTAGAAATCGATGATTCAAGGCAATGTTTGATCAACGTGTCACAGTTGCCCTCTCGTTTTCACCATCTGCTTCATCAATTAGGGTGCTCGATGAGAACACTCCAACAAAGTCTAATCTCGCCTTGGATAGATTGAAGTAGCGGAGCAGCTGCTGCAGCTGAAGAGGAGTTATCACGACACCTCAGGAAAGGAAAGACCACCGTGCATGACAGGAACAACACGACGGAACACAAGCTCAGGCTGCACAAACCAGTGGGAACTTAGAAGTAGAAGAGGAAGAGGAAGAGGAAGAGCAACATCCAAAAGGTTATGATTTCAACCCACTCTTAACTTTGATACTGATGCTGATGGGCACAGGGAAGAGATATCTTAGTCGACAAGAATTCCATGGAAAGACTCGACTAACTTATTATTATTCTATTGATTCTTTCTTCGTTGAAACTAAATACATTCTTTCTTTGGAAGTTTCATTTCCATTCAAATATTTGGGAGCTATGATTGCTCCTTAAGAGACTACCATTATTTGCATTTGATTCAACAATTTAAAATATGATAAATAAACGAGGTAATTTGGGAAGAGTAAAATATTAAATCAGTTCTCCACTCTTCCCCTTCACATTGGATGCCTAAACATAGTTTAAAAGGCAATGAAAGATTATTATTATTTTTTTGGGGGGCAAAAAGAACATAAAATCAAAGGCATGCCTTTGATTTCTTGGAATACAATTGCTGAATGTAGAGACGAGGGTGGCTTGGGCATTCATAATCTTGAGAAAAAAAATAGATTACTTTTCAAGCAAAAGAGAATGTACTGATGATATTAATCATATTTTTTTTATTTGTAATATTATTGATACGATATATTTTGACCCTAGATGAATCACCAGCAAACATCACCAAACGACAACCACGAACGCAACGCAACATGCTGCCAGAACCACGAGGTGCATGCCATGTCAAGTTTGGTACGAATACACTATGCAACTTGACCACCTCAAGAGTTCGGGGCGATGCCGTCTGACGCCGCTCAAGCACCCCTTAGGATGCCACCTCGTCAGGAGTTGTTCCGCCCCCATAAAGTCAACGGCCATGCCAAACCAAGGGGCAACCAACTCTCGCACGCAGGTATAAATACCCCCGTCTGATCCCGAGGAACGAGAGGGGGGGGGGGGAAGGAGAAAAGACAGGGAAATCCGAACTAAACTGACTTGCTTATCGGAGGGGCCAAAGTCGGGAGATACCCGATGAAGGCTATTTTGCAGGAAGGTGATCGTCGCCGAGCCGCGGGCGTCTTCACCCTGAAGTCGTCATCCAGCATACAGAGGAGGGTGGATCAGCGGATCGGGTCCCAACCAGTGCCAGCATATATCGCCCATCTCAAGAGCACGCTCACGAAGGAAGATTGCCAATTATCCCGGGAACGAAATGACACATCTCGCCATAAACGACACTCAAGTCGACTGGGCTTAGAGTGTTAACCCCCAGTCGCTCGCGAGGACTCAACCGACCCTTCCGGCTCAACCCTCACCCGAAGCGCTCGAGAAGCGCAGCCACGCCATCATCCAAACTCATTCAACCAGAAGTTCCCGAACATAAGGTTCTCTTGTTTTAAGGATTGGATTAATGGATCTCGGCACAAGGAAGGGCACGACTTGGCCAAACCGAGCTACTCTGGAAATTGGTTGATTTGGTTGCAGGTCAACTTTGGAAGTGGATGCCAAACTCAACCAAGCATTCATTAGTGATAAAAGGATTATTTTTGGGAAGGAGAGGAGTATCGAATTTGGAAACTGAGAGTGATGACATGATGAATCTAGTTAAGATTTTGAAGAAAGAACAAGTATGATCTCTTTGGGCATTACAAAATCGCATTAGCAATATCGAAGACCTCATATCCAACTTTCAACACATAGACTCATAGCTCATTCCTTGTTATCTATGTAAAAGTTGTGGACACGAATCAGATTCGGAGATCACATTGGCCTTCCTTTTTTATTTATCTTTTATTATAGGCGGCTCTGAAGTGCACGAATCTTGTAATCTTGATTTGATGTAAATTTGATGTTTCTTGGAAAGAAATATTATTCTATCGATTCAAGGTGCATAATCTTAAGACATTCTATTCTATTTATGCTTACATATTGCATGTAACGAAAGAGGTCTTTAGAAATTAAATGTAGAACAAATTACTATTATAGATGCTTAAAATAATTATTAGGATTTGTAAGTATTTTATGATTTCATAATAAAAAGAGTTAATATAAATGGTATACATAGAATATGTCGTCTAAGATTTCTAAAAAATATGATAAAGAATATATAAATTCTTCAGGATTTATATGAGAGTATATATAAGGGGATTATACTCGAGTATAAATAACTAAAATATCTTATAATTGATCTCACGCGATAGAGAATTTATATTTTTTCATAGATATAAGCGAGAAATACTAAAATACGTCCAATATATTCTTGATTATTGATCTCTATGATTTTTTTTAATGCTAAAAGCCTTCTCTCTTTTTTGGAGTGCACAAAATATTCTTCGGATCTCTCTTCGCTAAAACTTAGAAATACATATGATATATAAAGAAGAACCAAACTCTTTTTCTTTTTTTTTGACTCTTTCTAATTAATTTTTTTTAATTTTGTGTTGGCTGTGTGGTATATTTTTAATTGTTAATCTTTATATATATATATTTTTTTTAATTTCAATATTTTCTCTCCATTTCAGCAAGAAAAATAATAGGCTGAATTTGTTATTATCTATTTGATGAAGTGTCGAATCAGTTCATTGATGTTTCATTAATCGTAGAACATATGGTGTTCAGACCTTTCCGAACCCATTTTCTCGAAGTTTTCACATCAAGTATTATGAATTAAAAGAGATTGCTGAAAATATTCCGGTCATGTGCTCGATTATTAATCAACACATAAACTAAAAGACATAAATTGCATGACTCGTATTTCCTGATAAGATAGATAGATCCTCGAAATAATAGTCGAATTTTTCGTAAACATAAACTATTTGGTGATCAAATGCCGCCATCCAAATCTCCATCGCAGCAACTTCTCTTTCTTCGTAATGGCTTGAATTGACTTTGTTGTGGCCACATACTTCAATTCTCTGTCAGTTTTTACAGTAATGAATTATCTCTTTTCCATCTTCATTTCCTTTTTAAAATTATTTTTTAATATTTCTAATTTTATCTTCGAGTGTAAGTAAATGTAATCAGAATCCTTTTTTTCATCAAGATTATTGAGAGAAAATTAAATCTTAACCCTATAAAAAAAAACAACATGAATTAATAGAAAGCCATTAACTTTCTTGGTAAAAGTTAATATTAATTGTGTCATTTTCAGTATGAATTAATTGAATTCCTTCCACCGACCGCTTCCTATTGCTCGTTTTGGGTTCGCCTCCTCTGGAAGCCACCAACGACTCTGCTCTTCTCGCCTCTCTTCTCTCTCACTCTCTCTGTTCCATGTTTCTTCTCGAAGCATTTCAGGTACGGTTCTCATTCTCTCTTTGTCCCTTTATTATTATTTTTTTATGAACATCGATGTATAGATTTGGAGTTACACGAAGGAAGTTCATCTCATCTTTGAGATCGAGCTGTCTCGTATCTGCGTCCATTTAGGGAGGAGTTGTTGCATGGAGAATACAGGCTTCTTCTTTAGGTTCTGTGCTTCGCCTCACATAAGTAAATCCGAATGGGTTGGTCGAGAAACAAACCAAGGCCAAATCTTGCCATCTTTTCTTGCTCGTCATGCATGTCCAGAGATGAAGCTTCTCAGGGTTTCGTAGTTGGTAGAACGCCAAATTGGAAGAAAAGCAGAGTGCCTTTGGTCAACGCTTCTAAGAGAAGACAATACAATATTATAATTGTGTAGCGTTTAGTCAACATACTCTTCTTAGATGACCGAGTCTATGGATGGCCAAGTGTTTCATTCTGCTTCTCTAACTCTTTTTTTTTTTCTGGGGAAGGATTGAATTCAGACCAACTATTAGTTCTTTCTACCATCGAACTAATCTTCCTTATCACATACAACAAGCAACTGCGGTCTGCTACCCATTTCTGAAAGCTTTTGCTGCATAACCCAATTCCATGTTCCATATCACAGCAAAAGCATAACCCAATTCCATCTTCCATATCACATACAACAAGCGATTGCGGTCTGCGACACATCCGTTACCGATATCCATTTCAGAAAGCCTCTGCTGCATAATCTACTCAGACTACCCGATTCCATTGTTGATGAGATATAGCTGAGACAGTTGAAACAAGTAAGAGTTTATTTTCTATGGCACCCACTGAGATCTAAGAGATCATCATGTCTTGTACTGATATGATATAGAACTGCATTAAGACTGTTGAGATCACAATTCTTTTCCACTCACGAATATAAACTTTGATTTTGTGTCTTAACATGAATCCACAAGTTCTCTTGAGCTATTAGCATTCTAATAAAGCATATTGTCTTCATCAGGTCGATCTCTGACTCGACCGCAAGAAAAATCATGTTCAGGAAGAAGCACAATTCTCATGATAACCAGGAACACGATGCTAAGGATCAAGAACAAAAGGTAAGCAAACACATCTAAGCATATCGTCTTCATAATCCTCTATCTAAATGACTCAAAAGTTTATGACTTCAGAGTATAATTTTGCGTATGGTATGTAGTTGATAATGATGAGCATTCCGGCATCACAGGTAAAAGAAATTGAGTATGCCGATTTCCAATCACCTACTAGAGTTTCAGATATTGACTCTTTATGTCTTTTATCAGAAATATGATTGTCTACTATTTATGAATTCAATCACAGTTCTATTTTTTGTTGAAATAAATTAGCTAATAAGCCAGTTTTTCGGTCATAGGATCAATGATCATGTTGTGCAAGCAGCCATTGGATCATATCTAAGCTTTCATATATTAGTTGGATTAGCGGATTCCTCTATAAGCTTCCATATATAAGTATTCTTCTGAACAGATCAAAGAGCTGAGAGCTGCGATTGGCCCTTTATCCGGAAGTAGCTTAACATTCTGCACCGATGCATGCCTGAGAAGATACCTGGAAGCTCGCAACTGGAACGTGGACAAGTCAAAGAAAATGTTGGAAGAAACACTCAAGTGGAGAACGACTTACAAGCCAGAGGAGATTCTTTGGGTGAGCTCCACTCCATCTTCTTCATTTCTCTTGGCAGCTTAATTGTCGAAGTAATACATATGATTCGTCCAGCATGAAGTCGCCACTGAAAGCGAAACAGGGAAATTGTATAGAGCAAATTTTCATGATCGCGAGGGAAGGACAGTTATAGTGATGAGACCAGCAAAACAGGTAGTTCGATTAATTATATATGTACACACTGATGTATGTGCAAGAACAGAGTTCTAACCGTGTTCAGGTTGCAGAACACATCCTCACATGACAACCAACTCAGGCATCTGGTGTATGTCCTAGAGAATGCTCTCCTCAGTTTACCGGAGGATCAAGAGCAAATGGTGTGTCTGATAGACTTCACCGGGTGGTCATTGAGCAACTCGCCGATTAAGACTGCTCGAGAGACTGCAAACATTTTGCAGTGTCACTACCCCGAGAGGCTTGCTGTTGGATTTCTCTACAACCCTCCAAGAATCTTTGAGACCTTTTGGAAGGTACTAATCTCACTCTCCAATGAACTTCCAAGAAACAAATTAACAAAAAAAAAAAAAACAAACAAACGAACGATTAATATGTTTCTGCTCATCGGCAGGTGGTGAAATATTTCCTGGATTCCAAAACCTTTCTGAAGGCGAAGTTCATTTACCCCAAGAACAAAGAGAGCATGGAGCTCCTGCGCAAGCACTTCGACCTTGACGTGTTACCTGTGGAATTTGGCGGGAGGAACCAAGTGCAGTATAACCATGAGGAGTTCTCCAAAATGATGATAGCAGAGGATACTGTAAAAGCCAGCTTACGGAGTTCGGAGGAGAAAACGCCACAGCCCGGCCTTGCTGTGCAAGCAAGCTAACAACTTATTACTCCAGTAGTCTTAAGTGCTGCATGCCTTCAGAAGATTGTGTGCTTTTGAGTTATATCTCAACTTGTTAAACTTTTGACAAGAAGTCCAAATAATGCAGAGATGCAATGCATAATATGCCCTAATCATGAGAGTCCACAACAATGCATTAAATCCAAACTTTTAGAAGCAGAATAAGAATATCCTGTAAGTGTTTGCATCCCCACCTATTTGCTATTTCTTAATAAACAAAAATTTGATTTTAGACATGGAATAAATTCTCCATCAGTGTTTGGTGCCCTCAATAACAAAAAATTGATAATAGATGTAAATATGAAAGGTAACAGAGAGCAAAGATCTTTCAGTTCATCAGTCACTAGCCTGAGCAAGGAGCCAACTAGAATACTCGGTATGGCTTCCCCATGGTGCTCTTCAAGTACAAGCACCTGACCTGTATGTAAGAACATTGCAGAGTGAATAGTGATGCACAAAATTTGATGTACTCTCCACTCTATAATTGACAGAGTAAACAAACAACGTTGAGATTATGATAATAAACTCATGGTTGGAAATCTAAAGAAAGATGACACTGATAAAAAAAATAGTCATCGTGAACACCAAGATCCCAAGGCTATATAAGCTGCAAAGATGAATTTAACTTAGATCGGCGAAACACTTAAACCTACAAATACATGTTCAAAATGCAACAAAATTGTTGTTCGACTTTTCTATGGAACAAACCAAACTTGAATATTCTAACCACCCAAAAATATAACAATTAGTGGGATATCAATTTTCTTATTTAAATCTGCAAATAAATTTTTATTAGCATCATATGGAAAAAGGATTGTAGTACCATTAAAACAGAAAACCAAAATTGCTTATTTAATTGGAAATAGCACAAGACAATGGTAATTTTACATGAGCAAAAGCATACAGATTATTTGATTAGTTTTGAAGCAGACTGAAACACAGATATAATAAAACCATCAAATAACATGCAATAATTCAATTAAAGTTGTTGAAAAACGCACATTTTGCCAGTTCTTCTTCAGCAAAGACACAAGAAAATTGACGCTGAGTTGAACATTCTGAAAGACCTGCTTCTCCTCCATAGCACAGTTACCCACTGCAACACCCATGCAAAGAACCTTCTTAAGTTGAAATTTCACCATTGCTTTTGTCTCATTAACTTTTGCCTCCAAAGATTCCTGGTGAGTAACCAACGTGGGGAACTTCCCTGCATAACAAGTCACATGTACCCAGAGAAGTTCAAAATTAAATATATAGATGAACAGACTCCCTGCATCAGGATATATACAAGGAGATTGGACAATGGAGTATGGAGACATGAATTCAATAAGAGTAACCAACACATACATGCACACATGATAAAAATTCTTCAAGCCCATAGAAACATTTCAAGGCCGACCTGATAGAGATTGGATCTACCAAAGCTGTAATGCAAATAAAGGACAATGGTAGAACAGTGGCAATCCAGCAGTTAAGAGCCTTGTTTTAATCCTTGTTTTAAAACAGTATTTTGAAAAGAACTAGACGCTAAAAGGCACCAAAGTGCCAAAACACCCAAGGCGCTACGTGCTTGCTGAATATTAAAATTAAAAAATATATCTTATGATTGATAAATATGATCATGAAGATAAAAGGACACATCAAATATGCAGTTCCTACTCAACAGTGTACCTACCTAACATTGTTCATAAGTTCCTAACAATTGAACAAAGTGCAGGAAATAGGAGATCATTTACAGAGAGAATAATTTCCTAACAATTAACAAAGTGCTCAAGCAGTCGTTGTTACCTAGAGACTGAGAAAGAGAAGACGGAGAAGTAGCTAGTTGGCAAAAAACACAGTGAACATTCTCATATAGGATCATAGTGAGATCATAATGATCAATCCCAAACAAAAATAATGTAATGCTAATGGCAGCGCCAACAACATAGAATTATTTTTGGTTCTTATATGGAAACACCTAAAAGATTTCATTCCAATAAGCATATGAATCAAAAGAATTAATTCTCGAAGGGCCTAAAAGCTATTCTAGGGTTCAAACAAGTTAAATAATTACAAATACATGATTGTCAAACTTCCCAAAATTACAGCTACAATGAATGATTACATTCTTCCATGTACGATACTATCCAATCATAACAATCCAATAAATGTTTATACAACGGCATCTTCTATACATAGTTTTAGATAATTTTATAAAATAACCACTTCCATATATGTACATGTGTGTAAAGCAACCAGTTTAACTCACAAGAATAGACTGATCACCATTGTTTGACTATGTTAGTGGCGACATTAATATTCACTTTTTACAAACAAGAAACAATGAGAAAAAAAAAAAATTATAATAATTAAAACTATGGTATGAATTTTTGTGACAAAAACACAGTTGAAGACATTGAACATGCAATAAGAGTTAAAAGCAATAGTACTTGCCTGCCTTGTTAAGACCAGGTCCAAGGAGACGAGGAATCTGTTTGATGATAGCTTCTGATGCTAGGAAAGCGTGGTACTTCTTAGCGAGTTTTTTAACCAACTTCTTATTTTTGTTCATCTTTTTTAAACTTTCAACATCCATGTAGTCGAGTCCTATCTTCTCAGCCTGGATGCGACAATGGAAAGAATTGATACAGCATGCTAAATAGAAGAGCGTGAACTAACAAGAATCAAAACCAGGCAAGCATCTTAATCTGATTACGATGAAGAGAGTATGAATTATGAAAAAAAAGTCACATGAGTCTTTCATGTACATGAACAAGATTTTTAATCGATGTTGAAATAAGGTGGAAATATACTTAAAAGCATAATGACACATTGATTGTAATTATAGTTGGAAGAATGCAACACTCCAAATTTATAATAAAATGATGGGATAGACATCAGAATGACACATGTATAAGCATTTGATATGATTCATGGGGCTAAATGCAATAGTCCTTGAAAGTTGTAACTTTAATTAATAATTACTAACCCCTAACATTATCAAATAGATAGTTGATCACACTGGGATAGTAAAAGATGTCCGGGCATTTGTATCAATCATGAAGTGAGAATTGCAAAAATGACTTGTACAGCAGAGCATAAACATAGTGCTGATAATAGGACGGTTCACAATTATAGTAGTACTGTAGTACAAACTAGAACTCTGATGGACTCGAATACTTTCCAGCAGGACCCTCTAAATAATTCCTATACCAAATAAATACACAAGAATTTACCTCCTCAACATGTTGAGCATCCCCAAGCATGCAAACCTTCATTTTGGGGCGAGGAATGTGAGGTAACTTCACAGACCCACTGAATCTCTTGTCTTTTTGAGGGTCATAATTTTTCAGCCCAATTTGCAACTCTACTGTTTCAGTGAATTTGCGTTTCTTTTCCCGAGAATCACCAACAACCTGGGAGATTGCTTCTCTCAGAACATCACTTTGTAACTTGCTGCAACAGTAACAACATACTAAAAAGGTTAGTTACACATGATAAATACAATTAAACAAAAGTATGAAGATTCCCTAGTCACTGTAAAATGTAAATTAACTAGAACACAAGTAAAAAATGACAATTCAAAACAATTTCTGCAAAGTGGAAATAGGAGATTTCAAATGAAGAGTAGAATATGTCAATAAAGAAAACAAGATTCCCAAGGAACAACTGATGCAACAAGATAAATGGCTTATAAATTAGAAGAGTAGATATTAAATAACAAAAATGGAAATAAGTAAAATGACAATTCAAAACAATTTCTGCAAAATGGAAATAGGAGATTTCAAATTAAGAGCAGAATATGTTAACATGATTGTGAAATTGCATTGTAAATAAAGAAAACAAGATCACATAAGATAACGATTTCTCATGCTATGTAGCAATCTGACTCAAATCTGATTCCCAAGGAACAACTGATGCAACAAGCTATAAGGTTTATAAATTAGAAGAGTAGATATTAAATAACAAAAATGAAAAAAAGAAACTGATACGAGGAAATGACACCTGGCAGGCTGTTGGCATCTCAATAACACATGACGGCCAACTCAACAACACATGATCACCTAAATGACGTGGTCGACACCTTGGCACCACATTTAAGGACATTTGAATCGACAGATAAATCATTAATGACTCCGAGATATTCGGATTCGAGGCACAATTAAATACACAAGAATGATTGGATAACTTGGGTCACCGTGTTGAATCTCCAACTCTGATTCTTATGAACGCTCCCCCAATTCTCATGGCCACTTATGATACTATAAAGACCCCAGGTGCTCTGCCATTGGGCAACTTAACCATCTCTGATCTAATCAGACTCTTTAGATTCTGTATTAAACTGAATCTTCCGAAACTTATTGCTAACTTAAGCATCGAAAGGACTTTGTCGGGCATGCTCCCAACGTAGTCTTTTAGGGTCTCGGTCAAAAGATTCAATGCTCTCACTCCTAATCAACCTGTGACATATACAGAAAAGGGTCACAGTTGGATCTGAATCACCTTCCAGATCGAACAACCAAAATATGACATAAACAAAATCCTCAAACAACTAAAAGAAAATGAAATCCACCAAGTGAGGACATTAAAAACATAAAAGGCCAAAGTTCTTTCTCCCAAAAATTGAATCAAAAAGTATTTGTTATAACAATAGTCTGCGTACAACCTAGTGAAAGGTCTGTTCAATGTGGTCAAACGATCATACTGGAATGTTATAGGCGTGCTATCCATAAAAAATATTTCTTATTTCATACGTCAAATCAAATGTCATGAACAGAAAACGAGCAACAGCTTATAAGAACCTAGTAATTGTTAATAGAGAATACACAACAAACTAACGCAAAAGATGACCATGTCCGCCTAAGAATCTCCTTTAATTTGTTTACGCATCTAAATGATCTGGAAAAAGAGCAAATCACCCACAATCTATTCATCTGTCTACATGCTGCAAAATTTTTTACGCTACTCGTGAAATTCTCTAAAGCAACAATAAGCAGTACATTTCGGAATAAGACTGTATCAAGCTACAACAACAAGAACGCCGATCAAATAGGAAAAAAAGATAGCTTAATCAGAATCGACATTACCTCATTGTTCAGACGAATTTCTCTTCCCACCTCAAACCTTCAAGAAATCATGACAACGTTAGCAGACGCTCCACGGAAACAAATCGGCAAGCAAAAATCAAAGAAAATAAATACGAAGTAATCACCACCATATCAGATCACGGATCTAGTATACAGATAACAGTTAACGAGGTGGAGGGATTGCCTGGAGCGGGAACTGGCGGAGAGGTGCAGGAGAAGACTCACCGAGTGTTCTGCGAGAGGAGAAGACGAGGTCAGGCGGCGAAGGGAGCTACGAGCCGGACCGATACCCATCCAACCACTCTTATTTGAACCCTAGAGGAGTATGCATGACTGGCGAATGTGGCATCACCGGCTTTGGGAATTGGTTGGGCATCGTGTCGTTTCGGTGGAGCTCGGATCCTATCGGATTCGGGTCAGCTTAAATTGACTCGAGTTCATTACCCAACCTGTTTCCAAATGGGGATCGATCTTTGAAAGCTATACACAAGTTTGAGTTGGGCCTTCAATGGGCTGCCCAATTGGGCTTCATTTTGCCAAGGGGTCTTCCAATAGCATTGTCTTAATCACATCTTAATTATGATTAGAATGCCGAAGGGCACTTGCAAGCAGAGACCTCCTCATTCACACGTCCTTAGCACTTCTCTTATATCGGAAGAACAATTGCTGGTCAGGTAGAGCGTGCTTTGTGCTGTCTACACGCCGTCCTTCGTGAGGTTGTACTGTGAGTGTAAATAATCACAATGAGGTACAGACTGAGATGCGTCAAACCCACAAATTAGTGCCAAGAGGAGTTCGACATGATTGGAGCAAATTTAAAGCTGAACAATGCACGTATCATCAAAAGTTTAACCTAATCTTGCAAGCTTTACAACTTGTCAAATGATTCTAATGCAGGAAAATATGGTACTGGATTTGCAGTGAGTTAAGAACTGATGGGGATATATGTGATGAAGGTAGGTGCAACCAGACTCGAGCATGACATATCAAAGTAGAAACCTCGTAACTCATACGCTTAGCTGTTTGTTCTCTCCTTCATATCAGAGGTAAACATGAAACAAGCAGACAGTAGTACGCAGATGCCAGTTTTGCTTATTTGTTTTCTCAGCTTACCTGCTGCAACTTGCAACGGGCAACATGATTGCACATACTATATCAGATTTGCACAGAGTTCTATTAAGTTGACTGCAATGTTACATCCTATTGCGCAACAAGTATGGAGAATTCCAAGGTCTCTGCCATCAAAATATTACGTGTATTTGTAGAGAGCAAAGCCAACCAGAGAATGCATCGATACGGAGGAGGAAGAACATTCCACAGCAGAAGGATCCTATAGTTCGTGCATTAACGTGGGTGTTAGCATTTACCTTGTTTGCTGGAGATCAACAAGACACTTTGTCTTTGCTGCATGCTCGGTTGACGATTCACTTGCAACACATATAACCAATCGAAGGCTGGACTTTAACAGGCAAGCGGTCAAATGGACTTTAACAACGAATCTGCGGCGGCCTCTCTCACGTCTCCAGGAAACAAACAAGCTCCAAATCTTTTTCTGAAAGCGAAGGAGAGGGACTCGGGGAACCACCAAAAGCGAGAGACACTAGAGGCCGAGCCCCCTTCGCTTTCCCTACTCCCCCCGCTCGATTAGGTAGATTACGTGATTGGCTTGCCTCCGCTTGGCCGTCCCTGTGCAGACTTCGCACTCTTTCAGACGTGGACTTCATGCAGCAAATTTCGACGTGATCGTCATACGTCCCACTCACGCTTTGTTGACTCAGCTCGCCCATACGTAGTTTAGTTGGAACAATGACATGCAGGCTTACTGAAACCTGAGCATTTCATCCATTTTGATGGTGAATACAGATTCTGAAGCTTTGGTGTTTTCGACGATGCTCGAGTACTTGATCCAAGTGCTTTAAACAACTAGACAACTGTTGGAAGTATGCAAGCATCACGAGGATGATGACTGCGATAGTGATGAAGATGAGAGTGCGGGCAGAAACCACTTGTCTGTGCAGAAATTTAATGCCAATGCATCTTTCAGGAATATGATCACTAGTTTTTGGGTGCATTCGCCAGGAGCAGAGTTGGAATGCTGACGATAATTACCAGTAAAAGGGCGCCACAACCATTCACGTAGAAGGGCTAGAGAAACATTTAATTCGAAAAAACTTTGAGAAAATTCCATGATTATATTTCGTTTGATGCTTAGAGATACTATGTGAATGATACATACATAATAATCATATCCATGATGGCAAAGCTAGTGATCGATTCTCTTCATTTCTTTCTTCCACTCAAGAGATACAGTGACAAGGAGCACCCGGTCATCTCCCTCGGGCATCTCAACTCAGCATTAGCTCATCACCGGGCCTTCTTTTATCAGCATACTCGTCAAGTCAAATCTGTCCATCCAACGGCTGCCATGACTGCGGAAGACCGCACCACGTCCTGTGGAAGAAAAATTACCTTGCGGGTATAGCGGCGTGCGCGGCGAAGACTTAATTGTGGGCATAAGACGACGGCAAAGCCTTCACTGGAACAGCGGCCACGAAAAGAGTCGGCAGTGTTCACACGAGTAAATGCTCCAAGAATATGAGGAGGACCAACGGAGCGTTCTCTGCGATCTGAAAGAAGGAATCTTCTCTTCACATCTCCACTTCGTTACGGTGGGGAGTAGACTTTCCTTTCTCTCTTTTGTTACTTGGAGAATAACATACTTCTTTTCTTCTTGTTTGATTTCATGGTCTCGAGATGCGATTTTTTCTCACTGTTGATGCTGATCTTTTCTGATAACAAAAGAGATGATCTTTGAACAGTGTTTAACTGCAAGTCATATTGCTTTTGACTAGTCCTCAGTCGTGGGAGATCTCTTCGTTGTATCGCAGAAGGAAGCATCTGATCTGAGATGGATAAATCATCCCGCCAAGGGCCACCTGATGTACAGCGTCAATCATCTCTACAGGAAAGTGACCATCTTTCCTTCATCGACCAGTCTGAGATGATTTCTCTGGACCAGTTCACGGTAAACCAAATCATGGAATCACTTTATGAGGAGTTCCATGACCCCCTCCCGTCGCCAAACTACGCCTCTTGCCTTCCCTTCGAATCATCCAGGAGCAGCGACTTCAATAGCGCCAGCTGCTCATTCGCGGATGTTTCTTTTGGGAGACCCATCGTCGCTGTTACCGGAGGCGATGTTTCGGCTGAGCTGCCTCAAGCGTCCTCCAGCTTTCTCTCGTTTGATAACCAGGATTCATTGCATGATCCACCACAACTGTGTGTGAATTCTGCGAAAGGAGTTGTGGAGCCAACGAACGTGATCAGGAGTTTAATTCCTCGTGGCTCAACATGGAGAGAGAACACACGGGACTTCCAAAGACCGGAGAGGATAAGCATGGGGAGCAGGCCGCCCTCTTGTGCTCAAGACCATGTCATTGCTGAGAGGAAGCGACGAGATCGACTCAAGCAGCAGTTCTTAGAATTATCCACAATCATCCCTGGATTAAAGAAGGTACAGATTCTTTTCATCCCTATTCTGCATGATTTGTTTTGCTCGCATATCAACTCTCAGACGCATCATTTTAAGCTTCTTTGACATAAACAAATTATATACATCATATTCCTTCCATTAATCTGTAACTACACAAAATATATGATTTATTGTCTTATCGTAATAGTATGATTCAATGTCACCTTAAAATTTTCCGAGGTATCACTCGAGTATTATTAGCTCTGATGCAGTTCGGCCATCTTTATCTGGCAGACTGACAAGGTCTCGCTGCTGGGAGATGCAATCAACTACATTAGGCAGCTAGAGGAGAAGGTGAAAACCTTGGAGGAGAAGGCTTCAGAGAAGACTGTTGCATCCACCAACCTCGTCGAGAAGTCCGAGCACCTCCGCGCCTGCCACCATATCTCAAGCTCCGAGGCAAACCCTTCCTCTCGTGCCTTTCCCAAGGTCACAGCCAGTCTGGACGGGAACTCCTCCATCCTGGTGAGGATTCAGTGCGAGAAGAGAAAGGGGCTGTTTGTGAAGGTGCTGTCCGAGATCGAGAAGCACCACCTCTCCGTCGTCAACACCAGCGCCATGCCGTTTGCTGCCTCTTCTCTCAATATAGCAGTGACCGCGCAGGCAATGCATCTGACTCTTGTTCTTCTGGATGGAACGCTAACGGCAATATGATTTCTGGTTTGGTTGTGTTCGGTGCAGATTGAAGAGGGATTCTCGACGACGGTGAAGGATCTTGTGAAGGATATAGACTCGGTTCTTAGCCAGTTCATCTGACGAAGAAAAGCACTGCCATCTCTCAGGTAGAAGAAAGGGAAAGATCTTTACTATCGCTCCAAGAGATGACTGATCTGCTGCAGCTTCTTTTAAGTTCCTTCTTTCTCTTCATGCCGCTAATTTGTATATTAGCTTCGGTCTCATATGTACTTTAAACATCTAACGGTCACATATGTCATATTTGGGCCCAAAACCAGTTCAAAATCCGGCCCAAATAAACCGGCTTATGGCCCAATTGCTGTCCATAGGTTAAATCTCATCATTAATGGGTAAACAAGATCATGAGAACAGGCTAAGTTGGAGTATCCATAGTTTAAATCTAACTATTCTCAGTCTAATACAAATCAATCCACTAATTCCACTTAGATTGGCTACCCAAACTCCTACTTTTAGTATCATTGAATAATATTCATGACTTGATGGAGCTTGAGACCACAACTGTCTATTGGTTTTGTTGCTAGTAAGATTGATGCTTCATGTATTGTTTTGGGATGCATATGCCATGCTCAAGTATTTTTTATATTTGAAGTCAATTTGCTAAGAACTTTAAGTCTTTTTTTTAATATGTGGAGGGATAAATTTTCTTTTGCGCTCGATATTTTGATTTGCTCAGATGTGAACGATATTAAATTTTTTTGACAGAAAATTGTTTGAATAATGATAAAAAGTACAATATGTATTTTGATTATGATTATTTATGAGTGCCAAGAAATGTTGAAGTCGAAAGATGGGGATGTCAAGAAATGTAGGCGTGAACTAAACACAGCTAAGTTTGACTTGTGCAACATCAATCACATTACTCGTATATAGAATAGAATATGTTGCAGTGTTCCAATCACCCGATCATTTTCCCACCAATTCATGTCAAGTTTGGGACTCGATTTGGAGTCATCTGTTAAGAGTTTGACTATTGATGTAGCAAATGGCCTTAAAGAAGGGTGTTTTTCACATTGGTAACAATGAATTTTTATGGCCGGTGGTCAACGTTACCGAGTTGAGTTGGTGAGTATGAATATGAGATCATCTATTAGTCAGTATGAATACTGTGTCCTAGTCAAGCAAATCTATCTCATTTAGCTCACACTCCATGAATGAGAAATGTTAATGGAACAACAAAGACAAAACCATAGTTCCTTTATGTTAAGAGTAGCTATTGTATGTCCATTTAAGTCACTAATCCTTTCATAATTTTTTTATGATCATCTGTACATCCCATAACGATTTCGAATGAAAAATAAATAAATAAAGGATTACGTTACGTCACAAACCGTCTACGTAAAATTATGTTAAATCTCATGAACATAAGATATTATGATTTTGTTATTATCCTATTTATTTGCATAGGAATACCAAAGCTAACTACTTGCAGCTGAGGTGCTGACTTCATAAATTTGACTCTCCAATTAATATTCTGACCTCTTTAAAGAAGACAAGGCCATTGTTCCTAGTGACTGCAACATGCTGGAACCAGTAAAACTTTGAAGTAGCAGCATCAAGGATTTAGGCAATATGCCCAGTTAATTGAATTCTTGAGCAGAGATGGGATTCAATCAGCTTGTCACTTGGAAAAATGAGCATAAACTTCACCAACCATATTTGACAACAGAGAGAAAACTCAACATTATCTGCTACTGCAGACATTTATGCCAAACATCACACAGTTCCGAGGACCTCAATATGGTCAGACTTCTCCATATGGCATTTTTCGTGGTGCAAAAAACATCCTCCACAGTACCATATTGGATGATGATGGTGGTTCCTCGTCCATTTGCAAGATCATTGTTGCTTGTAGTGGAATTGGAAAGCAGGAAAGCTAGGCATGATGGTGATGTGTTCATAAAGCCCAAGTTGTTTCCCTGTAGGAGAAATTGGAGGTCACAACCAATGCATCAAGGCAGTGACATCTCACCAATGTGATCTACAGTAGCAGTAGCACCAATTATTTCTTTGCCTTCCTGCTGCAAACGTATAAATACCTTTTGACTTCATTGGTTATTCATGGAACCTACCATGATGGATTAGACTACACAAACAATTGTGACAGAGATCTTCTGTAGGATTTGTCTAAATACCCAAAGAAAGAAAATTACTACACCAGTATCAGTGTTCTTTGTGTTGCCTCTGAAGTTACAGAATACTGACACTGTAATCATCTCATTCTGTCAATTAATGTCTTTTATATTTCTACTGGTTAGCTTCCATGTTAGAGATGGAAACAAAAATTAAGCGACTAGATTTATTAATTACAGTTTTTTTTATTCTTTTTTTCTGAAGAAGTCGTATCAAAATGAAATTGGTCTGAAGTCTCAAATACTAAGATCCAGTAAACTCCTCCCATTCTAATAATTCCTTCTTTGTTGTTGCTGTTCCCATCTGATTAAAGAATTAATTGCTTACTTGGTCAGCCTGAATTTTTCTTTTATTTATGCCAAATATATCCACAGTTCCCTCACTGGCTCATGTTATAGTTGGATGATCTGTGGTTGCATTCAGGATTTGTAAGAATTAAGAGAGAGGTTAAATAGTAGTAGAGAGAAGGAAGAAAGAACATGGAAAGAGAGAGAGAGAGAGAGAGAGCTTGAAAACCTTATGGAGGATTTGAGTTCACACTGTGTTCTTATTTCTATATAGTATAGAAAAGGGGATTAGCGGCCCCTCTATTCCAGAGGAAAAGAAGAAGGCTTAACCTTCTGCTGTAGGTTGGTTCTCTTCTCTCTGCCATTTGTTTGCATTCTTTAGATAGCTTTTGGATGTCCACAATTAATTCCCAAGCACTAAACTATTCCTAATTTCTTTTTGCATGGATCTAAGCGTAAAAAAATAGCTCTGCATTATTTTTCTTTCATATCAAAAATCTCCAAGCTTTTAACTTAGCTCTTTGGATTTTTTTCCTGCCCTTTACTGGATTTTTAGTCTCAAATGTTTCATCTCTGTAGCACTTTGAGATCATACAGCCATGAGTTTGGTTTACTACTTTTTCTTCTCCTTGACTGGGACTTGTTTCCATCGATCATAGACCCATAATTTATGTCTTCAAACTCCCATTTTTACCTCTCAAATTTTGTACTCGAAAGAAATCAAGGATGTTGAATTAGTTTCCACCTCACCGATCATTGATTCTTGATTCAGGCTCCTCTCCTATCTCATACAAAGAGGACAGTCCAATCATCATGGAAGCAGAAGCTCCAGCAGCAGCAGGAGGATGGTATTCTGATGTGGTGAGAGATCAAGATCAAGATAAAACAGAAGTGCAATCTTAAATGTTTATAGGGATAGAATAAGGCTCAGTTCTCTGCTCTTATTGAAAGGGGATGAACGGAGGCTTCTTCCACCAGTGGGGGTTCACGGAACAGTTCACTGCAGCACAGTTTGCAGCAGCTCTTGGGCAAGACTTCCAACGATCCCTGTCGTCCGCAAGCCACAACTCATTCCCTCGGGACCAACGACCAAAGAGACCTCTCGAAGCCAGCAGCTGGAGCTCTTGCACCACCGAGCAGAACTCATGCCTCGTCCCTAATGCCTCGTCTCCAACCATCCTTTCGTTCGGGAATCCGGACTCGTCCATCGACCAGAACGACGTCTATGGGGGTCTCGTCGGGGTGGTGAAGCCAAAGAGAGAGATGGATGCTTTACATCATCATGGATCCAAGAGGAGTTATGGCGCCATGGCCGAGCAGAGATCGAAGGCAGTGAGCAACGGGACCAGGTCAACCTATCACAACAAGGAGCACATCATTGCCGAGAGGAAGCGAAGGGAGAAGCTCACCCAGAGATTTATAGCCTTATCAGCCGTGGTGCCAGGCCTAAAGAAGGTTCCTTATCGGCTGAGCTTTTCCTTGCTTTGATCCCTCGTTTGAATCTGTTGATCATGAAAGATCACCTCTTGTAGATGGACAAGGCTTCTGTTCTTGGTGATGCCATCAACTACCTGAAACGACTCGAGGAGAAGGTGAAGATGCTTGAAGACCAAGCTGCAAAGAGGACTGTCGAGTCTGCAGTTCTGGTTAAGAGATCTCGGCTCCGTGTTGATGTCGATAGTTCCTCCCGTGACGAGAGCTTGGATGGGCTCCCACAGATTGAAGCCAAGATGTCCGGGAAGACCGTCCTCGTCAAGATTCACTGCGACAACCGCAAAGGATTGCTGGTGAAGGTACTCTCTGAGATCGAGAAGCTCCACTTATCTGTTGCCAACACAAGTGCGATAAGCTTCGTGGGTTCTTCTCTCGATATTACTGTCATGGCTCAGGTAAGTTCCAACTTGATTAGCATTAAGATCTTGTTGTTCCATCATTATCTTCATGATTCTAAAAGTGCCTAAGAACAGAGAAACAATCTGTCTTCCTCGCTTTGGTTGCTCAAATCTAGTTGGGTGATTGCTAACAGGTTGAGGAGGGTTTCGACATGACGGTGAAGGATGTTGTGACACAGCTGAGTTCTGCTTTCAGACAGCTTACATGAAGAACTTGCTGTCATCACGCTGTTCTAGCAAAGTAAATTGGTAGAAGTCCTTTTTGTCATCAGTCTCAACAGTGCAAAAGCAGGCTAATGGTTTGCGAGCTTCAATTCTGTATCAATTTGTACAATATGGTAGCGATATGCATTGTGTCCTGTCACATATGGTTCTGAATCATGTGTTTATCTTCTCTTATCTTTATGTATCTCTTGGTTCTAACTTTTCTTTCCCTTGAGGAAGAGACTATATATATATATATATATATATATATATATATATATAAGACTGAATCGAGATGTATTGACCAATCGGTAAGTGGAGTGGAATTCGAGTCAGCTTTCCTATTTGTGGTCTCACAAATTCAAATCGACTCGAACCAAACGAACCGTCGATGCTACGTCATGTCGTGGATTGTGCAATCGCTTTTCGGTGTTGCAATCAACCCATCCATTTCACGATGAACGGCTGCGATCCTACGCGGAGGCGACCAGATCGCAAGGGAACAGAACATCAGGGACTCGTCCCCTTCCCCGCTCTCCGCTGCCGATTTTATCATCCCAAACACTGAAGATTTCCCATTTCTTTTTGTCGTTGGGAGGATCCCTAATTGCGATACCGAATCGGTCGGCTGCGAGTGCTATAAGGATCGGAGGGTTCGAGGGACGTTCGCCGTGGGGGACGGAACGCCCTACATCCAAGACGGTGGGAGGATCACTGGCTGCATCATCCGGTAGGAGTTCTCGCCTCATATAATGTGTTTGAATTTATGATTTTAGATCAAAGAATGTCTCAAATATCTACCAAGTTCGTATACTGTTTTGCGATATGTCATGGCATGGTTGTGGTACTCATATGTGTTATATTGCTCTGTCATGCCAAAGCCCTCTTCGTTCTCCTTCGGTGCCTCTGATGATAAGTGGTACTGAGATGGATTTATTTCATACTTAGACCATCAAGGACGTGAAGAAATGTGATCATGTCTTTGAATTAGTCGTCTCTCCCTATATCTTTATGGTCTTTGTCTTACAACACCTTGGTGTTCATCAATTCTTGGTGTTGTGCCAGTTTAAGTTTTCAGAGAGGACATAATTATCTTTATTTAATTTTTTGTCATTTTTGATCCCTTACGTTGATATTAAAACTGGTATGTTAAGGCGATTCTCATATCAGATGGCTGGTGCTCTGATGGCTTTCGATAGTGTAACCCACATTTACTTGAACTTAGTTAGACACTAAGGGCCACCCAGTGGTCTCTGGCCTTTTTGCTCTAGTGGAAGCTCTTTTTCGTGCTGCCTATTCTAATGAGAGATTTCTCCTCTTCTTTTGCTTCTCTGTCCCTAACTTTGTTATCTATTTCCCACTCGTATCTTTTTTTGCGATAATAGATGCTTAAGCATCTCGAACCCCAGCAATCACAGAAATTATAGGACTGTCATACCAAAGGTTGTGGTCTTCAATTCAGTGACTCTGTTGCAGAATTTGGAGTTTAGCATTAGCATTGGCTTTTGGATAAAAGGGAGATAACGTTGTTCAGATCAATGAAGACATGTACAGATTCAAACTATTCTTGAAGATGGGTTTCTATTGAGAAGAGGCCTTCAGATGAACTGGAAGGGTCAGCTTCATCTAAGCACAAAATGAGACCAGAAAAATTCCCTGGCACATTTTGAGATACTAGGTTATCTTAATCTTTGAGAGGATTGCATGCACAACCATTTTTGAGTTGGGAAGTGTGTTAACAAATTTTCCTGTGATGTAAGTATAGTGTCGAGTCTCATGCATAATGAATTACAATTAGCATGTTGATAGAAACAAAGATAATATATATATATATATATCACCCTCACTTAGTGATATGATTTGTAATGTCTATGCTTCGTAAATATAATAAATGATATGCTCATGTTTACAACTTTTAAAGTTGAAGTATATGGTTTCCAAAATATGTTATTCATAATGTTCTACGAAATATTGGTTAAGTATACATAAGCATTAATATCTATTTTAATCATACTTTGTAGCAATGGTTCTTTGACGCAACAAGCCAAAGTGTGCTAATGGATTTAAATATGATGTTAAGTTAAGGTAATAAGTATGTATATAGTAGCTAAAAGTTGTGGTTGAATTTTAATCGGTCGTAAATGAATCTCAAGACTTGACTGAATTTGACCATAATTAAAGTAGAGAAGTTTGAATTCTAAACGCGGAAGATAATAAGCTACTTAAGCATGGATGAAGTAAGGGAAAATTAAATAAAAATGTAAATCGATAAGGAGTACTATACTAGAAATATTAAGATACATAAGTGAGATTGAATTATGAGTTTAGACTCCTTATCAAATCAAATTAAACTTAATTGAATTGCTACAATCTTATAATTATATTAATAAAATAAAAAAACTTAAAATAAAATCTAATGGGATTGAACCCTAGTCTTTCCTTACTATACTTAGGATTTTAGTTTTACATATTATAAATCTATCTTTGTAGCTACTTTTGAGTAACCTAGACTACGAATTTATATTTAATTTTTGGATATGTTTTATATAAATCTCTTGTGGTTCTAAGGCCTCTAGTATGACTTTAATCCACAATTGGTGCATGGAGTTATGAGCGTTCTAATTTGAGGTACTCAGAATCTTTATTTTTTGAGAAGGGATTCTATTCAAGCTGAATTGACCCTTTTAGGGATATCATTAGGCTCTATCCTTTTGATATATTTTAAAAGTTTACCTTAGGGTTATGTGGGATTTAGAATTGAGTGAATACCACCAATGTGTACCAAGATATGAGATTTATAAGTTCACAGATAGTCCCAACCCATTTTTAGCATAATAGAATAGGTGTTGGTAGTTGAATTAGGAGAGCAATTTAACATCCAAATGATTTTGTTTTATGCTAAGAATTAATATATATTTAGTTTTATATGTCTCCTAGTTTTCTTCAAAATTTCATGATTATTCAAGATCGTTTGGTTAAGTAAAATAGTGCAGTAAATTTTTTTACAAAATTATGCAATGGTTTGAGTGATACTAACTAGTTTATTTGATTATAAAGTGAATTGTTGAAAAATTAGTGGTGGAATTTAAATGAAATTTTCAGGTCGAGTATAGTTTATTTTATAAGGGATTTTATCAAAAAAAATTATAAATTATTACTATTAATTATTATAAATCAATAATTCAAGAGGTATGATTCTTAATTAAGACATCTCATGACTTTATGCTCCCAATTCGATAGGTGTATCACTTCCTAGCACACTCGATTATTAAGGAACGCGATCTTTTACTGACATTTTTATTTTGAGTTAAATCAAATAACTATAAGTTTAATTCACTGCAAAATAGTGGTCATATAAGTTATCGTACTCATAATGCATTTTTTAAAGAATGTTACGAATGATATGATTGTCATGAGCTATGCATGAGTTAAATGTGAATGTATATATTTTATAAATATAGAAATATATGAATTGCAATAAAAATATATGGGTTAAGTTCCATTTTAGCATTTATAGTTTTGGTTATGGACTTCTTAAGCCCTTTTAGTTTACTCGTGTCTAAAATAACACTTACATTTTAAAAATATAACATATAAGCTCCTCCCGTCAAGTTTAAGTTAATAGAGATTAAAGTCAACTTACGTGGCATGCTGATTCATAATAAAGCATTAATATAATAACATGTGTAATTTAGGGTTAATGTCTATCTTAGCCCCTGTAGTTTTGGTCATGGACCTCTCAAGCCCTTATGGTTTACTTGTGTCTACATTTTTAAAAACGTAGCATATAAGCTCCTCCCTTTAAGTCTGAGTTAACAGATGTTAGAGTCTGCTTATGTGACATGTTGACTCACAATAAACTATTAATATAATGAACATGTAATTTAAGTTAAAAAAAAACTGAGATATCCATCAATAGCGAAAGGTGGCGTCGTCATGGAAGCGACCACAAGTAGCAGCACCGAGTCGTTGTTGCCTAACAGGGCGTCGTACGCATGCAGCCTCTCCCGCACTAACGATGAGCTTAAGAGCTTTCGGATGTCACTTGCCAGCTCTAGGGCGCATGCCACCATGTTGCCTACCACGCGGTTGCCCGCCACCGTGAACAACACCAGCTCCGATCCCGACGAGTGCCACCATACCTTGTAAGCCACCTCTCCCGCGCAGCACGACATCACGAAGATGAAGAGCAGACGAAAGGAGCGGTTAAGCTGGTCCATGTAGCCCTCTCGCACCCGCTTGGTCTCCCCGACTAGCTTGTCGAGGAAGAGGAAGTGGTGGACGAAGGCGGAGAGGCAAAGGTAGGAGAGGCCGGAGGCGGAGGTGAGGGAGAGTTGGGCTACCACATCGTAGGCGTAACGAGTGAGGGCGCAGGAGAGGACGAAGTGCGACGCGGTGAGGACGAAGACGCCTAGGAGGAGGAAGAGGGACCAGGAGACTACTACGTGCCTAGTGTCGTATTGGTCACGCACATCTACCTGAGGCAGGATCGAAAACTCTCGAGCTCGTCGTCAGTGTCGGAGAGACTGCGTGCGTACGACGTCCTGCTAGGCAGTAATGGCTCGGTGTTGCTGTTGGTGGTCGCTTCTATGACAATGCCTCCTACCACTGATGGAGGTTTTGGTTTTTTTTCTAAACTTAAATTACATGTGTCATTAAATTAATGGTTTATTATGAGTCAGCATGTCACGTAAGCAGACTCTATTGTCTGTTAACTCAGACTTGATAGGAGCGGCTTATATGTTAAAATTTTGAAAATGTAGGAATTATTTTAGACACGAGGAAACCATAAGGGCTTAAAAGGTCCATGGCCAAAATCACAAGAGTTAAAATGAACCTTAACTCTAAATTACACGTGTCATTATATTAATATTTTATTATAAGTTAGCATGCTCCTCAAGCAAATTCTAACGTCTGTTAACTCAGACTTAATGGGAGAGGCTTATATACTACGTTTTTAAAAATGTAGAGGTTATTTTAGACACGAGTAAATCATAAGGGCTTAAGAGGTCCATGACCAAAATTACAGAGGCTAAAATGGACCTTAACCCAAAATATATTGTATGTATACATATATGATGATGTGCAGTGTAAGAGTGCATATGTTTTTTATGATGTGCGGTGTGAGAGTGCACGGAGATGTTATGACGTGTAATCCACGTATATGTTATGACGTGAAGTGTGGAAGTGCACGTATGTATTATAATATATAGTGTGAGAGTGCACATATATATTATGACATGTAGTGTGGGAGTGCATGTATATATTACGATGACGTGCGGTGTGGGAATACATGTATATGCTATGATATGGGGTGTAGAAGTCAAAGAATTTATTATATTTCCTACACATGCAATATGTATTTTAAATTATTTTAATGTAGAATTTTACCTCTTTATTTTGTATATTATATATTATATGATTATGCTTGTTAAAGAAGTCATAGGATGAGGTGTTTACCATTAAATATTTTATGTCGATGATTTTGAAATATTATATGCATGACATTATAAATATTCACTTAATTAAAACTATGAAGGTTTATACTTATTGAGTGATTACTCACTATATATCATATTTTGTAGATAAAAATACCAATACCCTACCTAGGTGATTGTGTCGGAAGTGAGTACATGCGAGCTCATGCTAGTGCATATATGAATGATGACCTATGGATATTTATATGTGTATAACTTTTAGACATTTTGTGTCGGTATAATTTTCTTTTGGTTAGAGGTTGTAATTATATATAGGCGTCAAATCATTATGTACAAGGGGAACCTTGTCATTTTATTTAGTAAATTAGCATGTTTTACTTTAAAGATTACCTACACTCTTATTGATAGCAATAAAAGAACTGAAAAATGATATCCTACTTTGATCATACATGTAGGATATGAGTGAGACTAGAAATAAACAGCAAGCATTAGTAGTTCAATCACCTCTAAGATTCTTTATTGTGTTATCTTTTCTAGTTTCTTATTTTGCTAAAGTGCAACAACCATGGACATTCATGAAAGGCATTCTTCGTCTTAATCTTTTTACAACATGCATGTTTTGTTGAAGGAAAGTTTCTTGGTCATAAATGTATAGCTCAGATAAGTAAATGCTACTTTGTCATTTCCGAGGATATGTCACAACATGAAAATCTATAAAAATTTAATAAGTGTGCTGCTATTAATTTGGGTTGGTTTAGTGGTGGATACTCAATAAGCCATCAGGATATTTCTTGGTACATGGTTTAGTTATTTAGCAGCTCTGTTCGGACTTGTTTTCGTCGGACTGTTGAATATCTTTTTGGTATGAATTCATTGACTGCACCTTGGGGTGATACAATTAATTGCTTATTGGTGTGTGAAGTTTGCTGCATCTGCTGGCAGTATAACTATAGTCAAATTTGATTATCTAGTTAAATATATGATTATCAAATTTAATATTATAATAAGAGTGGTCTCTGTTTGAGGCTATTGCATGCTGAGGATGAGGTAATTACAACTCTTCCATGCCTATTTTTCCCTCTCTTCCGCATGCTTGATAATAACAATCAATCAATGCTGCTGTATACCGGTCGAAGCTTCAAAATCCTAAAAGCATGAATTCTCATTCTTATTGCCATTGATGCAACTGACACATTGTAATTAATATCTTTATTCATTTCAGATACAAAATTGTGTAGATCGGATCACACATGAGCAACACTACTCCCTAAGAAGATTTCAGGTGGTGGTCATCATCTTAGTTTGAGATCTGCCAAAAGTAAATAATCTCTGGTTACAAACAGTTTTCATGAGTAGGTCATCCAAACTTTAATGTGGATATCCTCAGCATTTTTTCTGTTACTCTTTCATTGTGCATGTCTCTTCTTCTGTAAGCATCCTAGCGCTTGCCCTTGCTAACATCATACTTCTTTATCGTGGTGGATTGGCAGGAGAGGACCATAACAAGATTTAGGTCAAAGAAGGATCTCTCCCAGTGTAAACTAAATATTGTCACCTCTGAGTTCTTGTCACATACACGCCTTCACAGCTCCCTGTTCTGGCGACTTACCTAAAGGTAGGGGAAGACGGCCCTGTGCAACCTCAGCTAGAGGACAGGAAGTTATTTTGCAGAGCTCATCAGGTTCTTACAAATATTCTGCATTCAGTGAAACAAGTGAGGCTCACAGACAATTGAGATGGCGTGTATTGATGTGCAACCTCACCAACTTCTTCCTTGTCTCATTACAGTGTTGTCGAGCTGTCTTGTGTGAGCTTACCTGGAGACCCCGTCGATGAACATGAAGCTGGCTGGTAGGAGAAGGTCCCTTGCTGGTTGTTGCGATCTTGCATTCAGGCTGGGATATGGATGTCTGTGTCCAATGGACACAGATTGCTGCTCTGGTAACACGTTATACCAAAGTAAATTTCTGCATTTTTTTTTATCTTAATCTTATATTTTTATCTTCTGGCAGACAGCTAACTACACTCAATAAAAGTTTGCATGCGATGCATTATAGACGCTACGCAGACATGGTGTACAGTACCAAAGTCTACCTTGACCATGCATGCATTCCTACAGTGTCAAACAGCGTGCGGCGCCATGATATCCTTGTAACAAGTGACCCAAAATTGCGCTGTTTTGAACTATTTATGATGGTGACGACAGAGACATTGTGCAATTAACTGAGCACTAGAACACCATGATTTGGGAAGGAGGGCTTCTTTAATGGGCGTCGCCAGATTTCCGGTGACCCGGAGATCACGGGATTGTGTGCCCAAGACCAGGAGACAGGGAGATCGCTGTTCGAGGCTGCCCTCAGTTACCTCTCACTCACTCTCCCATCAACACTATTTATAGGAAGACATGAGGAAGAAAGATAGAAACGGATAGGAAGCTGATATCGTCTTTTCTTTCTTTCTGATAAGCTTCAGTTTGAGAGATATGGTCATACTACTGCAGCAGTAATAGGCGACATGTGGGCGGTGAGTTGGCTTGGAAGTAAAATGGAAATGGTGGCCATCTACTGCTTCATTGTCTCGAGGTGACAGTGTTTAAAATATTCTGCGGAATCCACTGTCTCGGTTTTGAAGAAGACGACTCGTGCGGGCATGAGGGAGTGGTTATTATTTGAATGACGGTATAGTAAACGTGACACGTATTTCATCATGTCCTCCTGCTTTGTACGAAATTCCCAACACCTTTTCTCGTTTCCGAAAGCATACATAGGAACAACGATGAAAACAAAGCCCACCTGTACACCAACCCCACCCCTTGGAATCAATAAACCCCATTAATTCCAAGGACATTATTCGTGCTTATTTCTGGCAACCTGTTGGCATTAATTTGCTTCCCAAGTAGTCACGACTTACGTACCCGTAAAAGCCCCCCCCCCATCCACCCGTCATTCTTCAGTCTCCTCTGAGCTCGTCTCAGACAAGGGAAAGTGAGCGGGTGCAGGCAATGGCGTCGCTCCGCCGCCTTCCCCTCCTCCTCCTCCTCCTCCTCCTCCTTGAACTCGGGCCATTGGCTGCGGCAGCGGAGGACGGGTCGGATGTCGAGGCCCTCCTCTCCCTCAAAGCCGACTTCTCCGACGCCACCTCCGCCGTCCTATCCGCCTGGAACTCTTCCGCTGATGATGATCACTGCTCGTGGCCGGGCGTCTCCTGCGACCCCCTCCAGGGCTTCGTTGTCTCCCTTGACCTCACCGGTCTCAACCTCTCCGGCACGTTGTCCCCCGCGGTTGGCCGCCTCCGTCACCTCCTCAACCTCTCCGCCGCCTCCAACTCGCTCTCCGGCCCGATCCCCGCCGAGCTCTCCCGCCTGTCCGACCTCCGCCACCTCAACCTCTCCAACAACCTCTTCAACGGTTCCTTCCCCTCCGCCCTCGCCCGCCTCAAGAATCTCCTCGTTCTCGACCTCTACAACAACAACCTCACCGGCCCCCTCCCCACCGAGGTCGCCGAGCTCCCCGAGCTCCGCCACCTCCACCTCGGCGGCAACTTCTTCACCGGTGTCATCCCCCCTGAGTTCGGCCGCTGGGAGTTCCTCGAGTACCTTGCTGTCTCCGGCAATGAGCTCGGCGGCCCGATACCGCCGGAGCTGGGAAAACTCACCACCCTCCGTCAACTCTACCTCGGCTACTTCAACAGCTTCGAGGGCAGGATCCCACCGGAGATCGGCGGCCTCGCGGCGCTTGTCCGCCTCGACATGGCCAACTGCGGCCTCTCGGGCGAGATTCCTCCCGAACTTGGCAACCTCCAGAACCTCGATACGATCTTCCTCCAGGTGAACGGCCTCACCGGTGACCTGCCGCCGGAGATGGGCCGCCTCCGCAACCTCAAGTCCATGGATCTCTCCAACAACGCCCTCGCCGGCGAGATTCCCGCCACATTCGCCGACCTCCAGAACCTGACCCTTCTCAACCTCTTCCGCAACAAGCTTCACGGATCGATCCCAGAGTTCATCGCCGACCTGCCGACGTTGGAGGTACTCCAGCTCTGGGAGAACAACTTCACCGGCGGTATTCCGCGGCGACTAGGCCAGAGTGGCCAGCTAGAGCTCCTCGACCTTTCGTCGAACAAGCTCACCGGTAACCTCCCCCCGGACCTCTGCTCCGGCAACAGGCTTCAAACCCTCATCGTCCTCGGGAACTTCCTCTTCGGCCCCATACCGGATACACTCGGCCGGTGCGAATCCCTCAGCCGCATCCGAATGGGTGAGAACTACCTCAACGGATCGATCCCCGACGGTCTGCTCAGCTTGCCCAGGCTCTCCCAGATCGAACTCCAGGACAATCTGCTCACAGGCGGGTTTCCAGACACCGGCGCCGCCCTCATCTCGCCGGACCTCGGCCAGATTAGCCTCTCCAACAACCGGCTCTCGGGGCCGCTTCCACCGTCTGTCGGCAACTTCTCCGGCGTCCAGAAGCTTCTCTTGAACCAAAACCAGTTCTCCGGCCGCATCCCGCCGGAGATCGGGAGGCTGCAGCAGCTCTCTAAGGTGGATTTCAGCGGGAATCAGTTCTCCGGGCTGATATCGCCGGAGATTAGCCAGTGCAAGCTTCTAACCTTTGTGGACCTCAGCCGGAATGAGCTATCTGGCGAGATCCCATCGGAGATAACCGGGATGAGGATATTGAACTACCTGAACTTATCCCGGAACCAGCTCGAGGGGAACATCCCGTCGTCCATCGCCACGATGCAGAGCCTCACGGCCATTGATTTCTCGTACAATAACCTCTCCGGCCTCGTCCCTGGCACCGGCCAGTTCAGTTACTTCAATGCGAGCTCCTTCGTCGGCAATCCCGACCTCTGCGGCCCATATCTCGGCCCTTGCAGCTCTGCGATTCAAGGCGCTGGCTCCACTCACACAAGGGGGCCGCTCTCGGCCTCCTTCAAGCTGCTGCTAGTCACCGGTCTCCTCATCTGTTCCATTGCCTTCGCCGTGGCCGCCATCATCAAAGCGCGGTCTCTGAAGAAGGCCAGCGAGGCCCGAGCGTGGAAGCTCACGGCTTTCCAACGCCTCGAGTTCACCTGCGACGACGTCTTGGATTGCCTAAAGGAGGAGAACATCATCGGGAAAGGCGGGGCTGGCGTCGTGTACAAGGGTGTCATGCCCAACGGTGAACAGGTGGCGGTGAAGCGGCTCCCAGCGGCGATGAGCTGGGGCTCGTCGCGTGACCATGGATTCTCAGCCGAGATACAGACTCTCGGGAGGATCCGGCATCGCCACATCGTCAGACTACTGGGTTTCTGCTCGAACCACGAGACCAATCTCCTGGTCTACGAGTACATGCCCAATGGGAGCCTCGGCGAGGTTCTTCACGGGAAGAAGGGCGGCCATTTGCTCTGGCACACCCGTTACAAGATTGCTGTGGAGGCGGCGAAGGGCCTCTGCTATCTTCACCACGACTGCTCGCCGCTCATCCTGCACCGGGACGTGAAGTCCAACAACATCCTGCTCGATTCGGACTTCGAAGCCCATGTTGCAGATTTTGGTCTCGCCAAGTTCTTGCAGGACTCCGGTACCTCGGAGTGCATGTCCGCCATAGCCGGTTCCTATGGATACATTGCTCCAGGTACTTTCTAAATCTTCTGCTGTATCATCTGTAGCAATGCATGCAGATTCCATCGATGATCCACTCGTAGAAGTCTATAGACATCAATGCATGGAGAAAAGTTCTCCCTTTCGGCCAACCTTCAAATAGTTTCATCAAGGATTTGCTACTGTTGTGTGGCTGCGGCAGTAGCTTTTCGTTAGCATGCTCTGTTTGTGTCGGCCAAGGCCCTTTTCACGCATTCTTTCAGGTTATAGATCAATCTGGGAACGACGAGCACCTGTTGTTCTTTCCTTTTGAGAACGCCAAGTAGCATTCCTTCAGGTCTTTTAACCCCTTCAGTGACATGGTTCACAGAATATGCATACACGCTAAAGGTGGACGAGAAGAGCGACGTCTACAGCTTCGGGGTGGTGCTTCTGGAGCTGGTGACCGGCAGGAAGCCGGTGGGCGAGTTCGGCGACGGCGTCGACATCGTGCAATGGGTGAGAAGGATGACGGACTCGAGCAAGGAGGGCGTGCTGAAGATTCTGGATCACAGGCTCCCCACAGTGCCTCTGGACGAAGTCATGCACGTCTTCTACGTCGCCATGCTGTGCGTCGAGGAACAGAGCGTGGGGCGCCCAACGATGAGGGAGGTCGTGCAGATACTCACGGATCTACCGAGGCCTGCGACGACACAGGCAGATGACTGTGAGGCGCCCATCAGGGAAGCACAGAGCTCATCATCATCACCACCACCAGATCTCCTCAGCATCTGAAACTTTTGCTCGTTGTTTTGGGTGCAGTGGCACCATCTTCTTTGTACATCCTTCAAATGGTGGGCTTTAGGGTTACTAGTCAATTTGGCTTCCGCACCTTTCTTTGCCATCAGAGCTGTTCACATACTGCAGGTGGTCATGGATATCATCGAGAACAAGGTGCTAAATATATCATCAAAGCTTGGAAGGGCAAGCAATGGTAGACTGTGAGTGACTACTTCGATACAATTGTTGCCGTGTATGAATGTTTCGGTTGCGCTCTCCCTGGTGAGGACGGGGAGCTGCGATATGACGAGTCAGAACTCGAAAGCTGACGTGGCCGATGATGAGTAGATTCCTTGTCGGGCGGGTCCCAGTGCGGAGTTAAGATCGGAATTAGCTTTCGAATGCGCGTTGACGCAAGTCGCGTCCGTCTGTGTCAACTCTCTGTCTGTATGCTTGTCAATACTGATCGAGACACTTACATTATAATGCAATGTACAATTAATTATCTATAAGACAAAGATTCATTCGGTTTCCATCGATACGAATACAATCTTACGTCCAAAGGTATAGACAGGTTCACATAATTTATAGTATACAAATACAAATATGGATTCAAACGAATAAGTTTAAGGGTCGAAAAGATTAATTATTTTTAATTCTAAATTAAATTGTCGATGAACCGAACTCGAGTTAGATCATAATTTACTGGGGCTAAATAAGACAAAGTAGAAGCTAATTCTAGACCTAGAAATAGGATTGTATAACTGAACAACCATTTTGTCTTTGGCACTTGTTATCTTCATAGTCAATCGTTTGCTGGAACTACCGAGACTAGTTGATATGGTTTTAGTCCGAGGTAGATGCAGCAGTCGAGATCAACCCCGATTCAAGTGGTGATGAGAGACAAGAAGGATCTGGGAGAGAGCCAATCGTGCAGGAAGATACTACTATCGAGTTTATCTGGCATTTGATCTCTTTCTTGTTTTTAAATGGATAAAGAGAATTAAATTTAATTAAAATAAGGATCTAAATCTCTTTCATAACCATATAGAAAATAATTATAACTTCCAGAATTTAGTGAGAATTAAGATGTTAAACCATGATAAAAATTACTCTAAAAATAATAAATCACTGGGGAAAATATCATTGATGTCTATGTTAGTACGACGTGATCCTAATCTGTATGAGAAGTCATCCGGGATAAAATGTGATTTCTTCATAATTGTTTCTTATATAAAGATCGAGGTTGGAGGATCTCTCGAATCGATCTCTCCGATGCTTAAGATAGTACTAAGTTTCATATTTCTTTTTTTCTCTCCTTAGAGCTAAAGACGTATTTTTATCCTAACCTCGAGGAAAAAGAATATCTTATAAAGATCATGTAGAGAAGGTCATTTATAATTGATCCAAATTTTCTTATAGTTTTATGAGAATATTCCTATGAATATTTCGTAGGAGAGCTGGTTTGTAACTGATCCAAACTACCTTTTGGTATTTCGATAATATTCTTTTGAATATTTCGTAAGGAAGCTGATTCGTAATCGATCCAAACTATCTTATAGTATTTCGAGAATACTCATACAAATATTCTACGAGGGAATTGGTTTATAATCGACCCGATGGTATTCCAAGAATATTCATACAAATATTACGAATAGAAGTTGATTTGTAATCGATCTGAATTACCTTATGGTATTCTAGGAATATTTTTATAAATTTTTTATAGGGAAGATAGCTCGACAACTCAACAACTTGACAACTCGGTAATTGACCCGAGTTGCCTTTTGGGCTTTCATCTTTATGGACAAAAGGGTATTGGCCATGGTGAACCATGATTAGCTGGTTTTATATTCCTTATCAACTAGTAAATTAGATGGATTATATATAATAAAAGTATATAAATATAGCCTTAACAATTAAGCTTTCTAGCTCTCATCTATGGCTCTATAAATAAATGAGTTTTATCACGAGAAAAAGTAAGAAAGAAAAAAATATAAAGACTTATTTATAAGAAATAAATTTTTTTAGTTTCTCTTGCTCTTTTTGTTATGATCTTAACGGCACTAAGAGGTGTGGGAGGGAAGGAGGGGTGAATTAGTCATATAGTAAATTTTAATCAAATTTAAAGCCCAATTAAATTTTAATCAAATTTAACCAAATATTAGTGTGAGTGTAGTGAATGATAATAAGTAAGCAATCAAAATTAAAAGTCACAAGCAAGAGATGAAATACAAATTAATTTATAGTGATTCGGTCTTCCCAACTTATGTTTATTCTTCATTCCTCTTCCCTCGAGGCCATCATCTTTCACTACCCACCTTCTTTTGAATGGGCGACGATCAATTACTTTTGTTACAACTTTTCTTCTTTTTATAGGTTTAGGAGAGATCCACCGCACTAACTCTTTTACAAGAGATCTCTCACCTCCTACAACTTAGTATCATAACTAAATTCAAAAGGAAAAAAGAGACTCAAACAATCCCTAAAGAGAGAGCCACAACACTTCACAAATATATGAATTGATGTTATATTAACTAAACTTAAGTGGGATATTTATAGGCTCTAAAAGACTTCAAGTATAGAATAAAAAATTTTAATCCTCAAAAATTTTAAGATACGGGTGATGACATTATGTGGTACTACCATCATAACTTTTGATGTCATAATTTTATACTCTAATAGTACTACCACCATAAAATTTGAAATGGACAGTATTACCGTGCCCTAAGTGGTACTACCGCTATCAAGCACAAAAAGTGTTTGCCAACTAACTCAATCAATGCTATCGCTTGGGCTTGATAATACTATTGCCCAAACTTACTTTAGGCCACTAGTTTAGCCATCTAATGGGCTCAATTCAACCTAACTTTAAGCCCACCAGCTTTTTTGATAAGTTGGTATTGTTTTAGCCAAATACCAACTTAAATTGACCTGAAATGACTTTAATCAAGACTTTAATAAATCAATCACATATCTAGCACATTTATGAAAGTTTCAACACATTGCATGCTTTTTTGCCATGTTGTCTGATCTTTTGGAACTTCGTACGAATCTCTATAATATCATTTTTTTCCTTTGATATATTGCTCATTTTATTGAAATATTAACTTTCCCATGATATCAATCTTTTGGCACAATACCTGAATATATAAAATGAAATCTGATATCCGATACGTCGACTAATTCTTTGGCTCGATATGCATTTTTTGACATGACAATTTCTCAACGCATGTCTTACTCTTCTACTCGATGGTTGGCCCTTCAGTAGTCCAAGTCCATAATCAAAATATTTTTTACGTCACTTATCTCAAGAGAATATTAGTCCAATAAACTCATCGATTGATTTTTTTTCATAGGAAAAAAATGAAAAAAGAAAAGTGTAGAGACTTGCCTACGAGAAATAAAAATTTTAGTTTCCCTCTTTTCATCTCTCAATTCTTTTTCTCTTACTCTCTCTATCTCATTTTTTTCTTTTTCTCATTATAAACCAATAAAATTTCAAGATAAAGATAATGAGAGATTTGGAAGAAGAGAACAATACCATATTGGCCATATCTCCGCGTAGCACAGTCACCCTCGTCGTTAGCAAGGTAAAATAGGTGGCGGGCAACCCACATGCCCTCTTCATCGCTAGCAAGCCTCCTCGTCGTTGATCATGGGTGAGGAAAGAGGAGACAATGGGTCTGATGAAAGGAGGCGACGATGATGCAGGGAGGCAAGCCCCGCTCATCATCGATCACAAGATAAGAAGGAGATGGTGATGTATCTGACGAAGAAAAAAGATAGGGGTAATATAAGGAGGCGAGCCCTCTTGCTATTGGCCATGATTGAGGAAGGAGATGGCGATGAATCCGACAAAGACATGAGTAAAATAAGATTTTCACGTAATAAGAAATGCTTTATAAAAATTTTTAGAACTTGAGGTGCTCTATAAACATTTTTCAGAGTAAAAAGGATTTTTTTTCAAAAATTCACCCTAATTTTAACCTTAATAACATGCAATATAAATTCTTCATACTGTAGTTATTTGCTTTATGCTAAAACTAAGATCAAACATCACATTTACGGAAGAATTAAAATAACATAAACAGTATAAGAGCGCACACGCTTACACGTACGTACGGAACGCACCATGTCAGTACAACGAAACAGAGTTCAGTCCGATACGGCTTATTGCACGCACTTGCATCTCTCATCACGTGCATGCATCCTCGGCGCATGCAACGTACGAACGCAGCTCGCACCGCTTGCAGAAGTGTAAGCAGATTCAGCACTCTGCTCATAACATGATGACACATTACGGACGCAGCAACACAACCAAAGCAGACAATGACGTATATTACTAAGAAACAAAAGCATAATCTGCTTCCATCTGCCTTCTGCTTCAGTGTGGCGTTTGCTTGCCCAGAAGAACAGAGAGGAAGAAGAAGAAGAAACAAGAGTTGCAAATGACTCGGTCCAAGAAAACCAGGATTCGATATTATAGTGATAGCTAAAAGTCTCCATCAAAGTAGAAAGGGGGCTTTGAACTTTCGAAGATAAATCTCGTTGGTACCCTACAAAGACACTTTCTCCAGCCCACTTAGCTCCTGTTCCTTGTTTCAGTACACGGCTATTTTGTGACCCCTAGAGAACAATACCTTTTCCGCAGACCTGAAAAGGAGAAGAAAGTACTCTATTCCCAAGATAAAAAAAGAGAAGTCATGTGAATCAGAGAGCACAGTGGAGGAATAGACATTTGTCTAACAACAAATGAGACCTTGGGGAGCTGCAGCAGTCTGGATTCCAGCCTGTGATGCTGTCACACACAGTGTCAGCTTCTCTTTCTTCAAACCTGTCCTTCAAACGTTTATACTTCGATGAGCCAGATGCAGAGAGACGGCCTGAGTCGTCTTGTTCGCTTTGAGCTCCGAGTGATCAATCCCCTGCAACAGGAACGGAAACACATGAGCATGCCTTTTTGCATTCATGTATATGTTCATTAGGAGGACTAGTGGAACAAACATTCCATCATTCACATAGTACGCATCCAAAGCCTCCTTCACACTTTGTACTTTGTTCCAAGAAGTCATAAATTCTCACCATTATGAATAAAGATTATACCATTTGGTCCCTTTGGATCATTAAATGATGTGTGGTAAAAGCTAATGAGCAGCGGAAAGAGTGCATGGAATGGCGTGGGAATTGCCATGTGAAGCTGTCCTCTGCTTTGGTGTTACATCGCTGTCTCTGTCGTAGACATTCTTGAAGAAGAGTTGGATCTTATCAACAGCAGAAAGTGAATGAGAAGGTAAGAACAGCTAAGGGAGGCTTTCGCTTTGTGTTGCATTTGTACCCTAATGATAGGCACCAGTGAAGTATGATTCCAAGAAGAAAAAGGGAGCTCCATGCTAAGGGCCAAACTCCAAGCTGCTCGCTTCGTCAGTGAAGTACTACGCCACTGATCTGATGATATCGGAGATTAAGCAGCACAATCGAGGTAGTGTCTGACATCATGATATCAGAGATTCCTTGTCAAAATTTCTTCAATCAGACGATATACTTCTCTCTCTCCCTCTCTCTCATAGTCCAGCAAAACTCTGCGAGTCAAAGAAAACTGCAGTTCTTAGCACTGGTAATCCACCTTAAATGCAGAGAGGAGGAAACCAAGGAAACCTTACGGAGATTCTCACGACTTACATGTTTTACCCTAGCAATTGTCGCCCGGTGAACAGGATTCCACAATCTTTTGTCGCCTGTAAGGGTGGATGATTGAAAGCACGTGTTTCATGTCCCCTGGAACGAACCGCGGTTTTAGCTATGGCTTCAAGCTCTCCGACGAGGAAGAGGGTCCTCCGGCACCCTCGCAAACCCACATGGTGGTGGCGCCGCCGTCGTAGTCACAAGATCGAATCTTACGATGAATGGTCCCTCCCTCTATAAGCACATTGTCCCTGATGGGATTGGATGTCGGTGGGACGACGCTCTGCAACATCCCCTAGTTGGTTCTAGCCTCGTCTGTTATCCCGAGATGGATTGGTTTCGAGATGTCCCTCCTATACAAAGACCAATGTTAGAGCTTAACTCTGGATGTAGTTCTTTTTGTGATCAAGTGGGTCAAGAAGGAGGAGATAGAATCCGACCTCAATTATTGTGCTCTATTTTACCTTTTATAATAAATCTCTCAAGAAACTTACTATCAAAGAGAATATTAAATATTTCACGTAACAAAGAACATATTCAAGGCTTTCGCGTACCAAAAAATAATTATTACGCCAAGTGTCGAGTCTTTTGGTCTCTTCTACTAACTAATATGCCATGTCTCGACCTCATATCCTAACACACAAATTCTCGTGTGTATCTGATTGTGTTTGAATTAGTTGACTTTCTGGAATGCCATGCCCACCAGGGTGCGGAGACATTCAACAGATTCGGAGTGACACACACAAACACGGAGCTGAAGTACAGCAGCATAAACACCATACGAAGAATTTGTCTGACGAAGCTGTCTCAGCAGCCAGAACTAAAAATTTACAGGAGGCCACAGAATATTACAGGCATATTGGTCTTATTGACATCTTGGGATTGATTGAAACGTAAAGGTGATTTAGATCACATGAGATGCCACCTGAGATATCCTTTCATCCTCTAATAGTGTGTAAGGATCTATATAAGGTGGTGGCGATACTGGTACCTTGCTGGCGTCAGGCAGGAAACTTGGTCCAAGACACTGCAGGCAATACAGTAAGCACATCATTATTTACTTTCAAGTATAATGCACCAAATCAAAAAGGCATTTCAAGAATTGATCCAAAATCTTAAATCATGAACTGAATTACAACGGAATTATATGTTAGTATCAAGATATCATAATATCAAGCATTTACAGCAATGATATGATGTGTGTCTTATGATAATACCAATAAGTAGGATAGGTTCAAGATACAGCCCTTGGTTGTCCAAGTTAGCTCTTATATGCATCTGCATACTTGTATGCATATAATTCAGAATGAAAGCGTTTACAATGAAGAAGAAACTATTTATTCTTTCTCATTATCCTGCTCTGAAAGGGAGACATGGTGTTGACATACCTTCAAAGCAGGAATGGAACCACATGCTGCTGGCTGAGCAAGCATGGCCCCTGGAATTAAAAAGATCCCCCATTATGGGAGAACGACAATAACCGTCTTTGTTGTCCCGCCAATTGGTGGCCCTAATGACCACCGATCACAGTAACTCTCTTTGTTGCCACTTGAATTGGTGGCCTTTATGACCACCAATCTGTCAGTGCCTATAGCATTGTTCACTACAGTAAATTTAGATGTCTAAACTTTACAATTTCTCTAACTACAGAAGTCCTGATATGGGCTCCCTAGTTGTGTGGACCTGCCTACCATAGTGGAGTGTTATTTCTTTTTGAGAACTGCCTTAGGCGCTAAGAAATTTGCCAAGAAAGCCATACCTATTGACAGCTGGTGCAAATGAAATCCTCCTTGAGAGTATAAGAAAAGGTCTCAAAACTATATGAAACCACAACTAATCTGCTTGATTTGATTTGAGATACTAAAGCAACCATACTAATCAAAGAGGGAAAACAAATTGATAGATTACAAGAAACAGGTGACCCAACCTTTTCCCTGTACTGTGTTTCGTTAATTTATAGTTCTTAGTATGTTATGGATCAAAGACAACAAGCTGTAAATCAGTCGCATCTAAGAGATTCATTTTTCTCAACCAAAAATATTAAATCAAATTTCTATTAGATGTATAATCGATGACTGTTCTCATTATTTCTAGGAAAATCTCTCTTCTAAAAGTTACTTGTTTCTGCCTCGTTAATTAGCATAAAGCATTTATGCCACACTAAATGCCCCCCTAGATAATTTTGTCAGCCACTGCAATTACAATTAGATTATGTGGTTGATGTACTATCTGCTGCATACTTCTATAACATATTACTTGCTAGATTTTGAGCTTTCCAATACTTGGAATTCCTCACAAAGGTTTTGAAACAACCAGTCAAGATTCCCATTTATTCTCTAATTGCATGCATAAATAGCATAATCTTGTGAGGTTGCAGAACAAAATGAAAAGGAAGAACAGGAAGAGATCAAGGTCTTACAATGTATAGACACAAAATGAAGCCAACAGTAATCAGGATTAGAGGCCAAAACCCCAAAAAGAATGTTCCACCGATAGTTAGCAGCAGTTTAGCCCTTGGAATTAGTCCCTGAGTGACAAAAACATGCATTATTATATACAATGATGGAAAATGGTATACAAATAAGCAGCATCAACAAACAACTTTCAAATGAAGATCAGCATTTTGGCAAAAAAGCTGCAAGTAAATACAAGGCTACAAGCAAAGATCAGTTCATGGATAATTGAAGATACCATAGCAACATCAGATACAGTAAACATTGTCATAACTGATTTGCATGACAAATTTCAAGAACATAGTAGCTAAAATGGAGATGAAATCTAAGATGAATAATAGAAAACACATCAAATAATAACAAGTTGATGGGACTAATTACATATTACCCCCTATACTTGGACTCTCATAGTATTACGGTCCCCTGTATCTAAAAAAATTACATTGGAATCCCTATAGTTATAAAAGTGAAACAATTTACTTCATTTTTCTTAATATCGTTGGCTGCACTCATGAAAGACACAGCATGCGACATGGCGTGCTACATTGGTGCGAAACCTATAGACAAAAAATTAATTTCAACGATGACGGGGCCGCTGCTTCTGTGACAATGTGTTGATGGCGTTGTTGTCGCTACGACCATTATGGCATCGAAGCCTGTCGATAAGGACCTTAGGCACTCCTTTGTCTACATTGGTTACCCTGAGGTAAATGTCAACGACTCTATAGAGATCATCATGGTCGGGCCTGGCAAAATCTGAAACAGCTTCCTAATTAACTTCTCCATGGGCAAGTTTTTGTCTTTGGCCATCTCTTGGAGGAAACCAAAGATTAGCTTGCCACTCTCAGCTTGGAGCTATGGGAGGCAGAGGACAACCTACCTCGAAGTCTATGTTCTCGGTAGACCGAGACCTCTCACAACGAAGCTTCTCTTTGGGTCGACTTGCTGCTGGGCTCTATCGTTGAAGCAGGAATTCCTCTAACATGGCCACCACTATATCGACCTCCTACAGCATACCACTCGAATTTGAGTTGAGTGAAATCAGAAGACCATCAACAGATGCCTCCTCTAGATGCAGTCCAATTCACCTGGCCAATTCCATCTTCGATGATGTCGAAGCGTGGAGTATGTTGCGACCTTAAGAAGCTTGGACAGAAAACTACATGAAACAGAGCCCTTTTTTGGTGGGGAGTAAGCTCACTATCTTTTTCCATTAGCAACCTGTGCTTCATGGTGACTTCTTTGCGAGACTACAGAAGGAGTCATCAACTTCTAGTTCGTTTTATTGATCATGATGAACACTACAGAGTTGCCGACATCTACCTTGGGACCGGAGAGTGAACCGGAGTGTCGGGCTTGTAGACAGATGGAGGCGAAGGAGGAGGAGCTTCAAAGGAGGTGGCGGAGGAGCAGGCCAGCTTGTTTTAGAGGATAAGCAATGCAGTAGAGAGCAGGGTGGCACTCACAGATGCACCGAAAGATGGATTGGAACATGGTGGAGCCGATGGCGACACCCTCATCAGAGTGGTGGACACGAGAGTAGGCGTTAGAGTCAAAGCTAGCAAGGTGGGGCACTTCAGGGCCGATGTGGATAAATGAGTGTCCAGGGCCCTCGTCAACAGGCTCCGACACCACAGTGGCTGCAGCGACAGCGATGTCAATAGACAACCATCGCCACTAAAATTATCTTTTTGCCTATCAATTTTATGATAATCCAGCACATTATGTTATTTGTTGTCTCTTCTGTAAGTGCAGCCAACGGTGTTAGGAAAGATGGGATATTATTTCACTTTCATAATTATGAGGATCACAATATAAATTTTTTAAATACAAAGACAACGATACTACGAGGGTCCAAGAACAGGAGATAATCTGTAATTAACCTCATTTTGATAGGTGAGTTTTTTTTTTTTCAAAAGGGTAAGAATGATATTAATAAAAATGACAAAGATAATATTGCACAGACACAGTCGCGTAGGGACAAAAAGAAAATAGCAAAAAAGGCCTATGAAAGCCAGCATTCAGAGACAAGAACCTAGCAACATTTAGGATCAGAGTACTGATCACTACGAACATCGCCCAGGCTGCGTTGTTGACAAGTCAGTACAAATTCTGTAAAAAACATTTCTCTTTCCTACCAAGCCATCGACGAATGATAAAAACCTAATTAATGATAGGGAATATGATGAGTGGGAAATGAGTCTTAACCTCGAGGCCCTCGCTGTTCAACGACATAGACCGTTCCCTCTGGTTCGATGTCGCCTTGTCGAAGGCTGCCCACGCCACATCGTTCCGTTTCGTCTGCCCCCTTCTTCTATCCGCACGGTTGCTGATCTCTTCCTCGGACTCCAACGACCCGATCGTCCCACCATCGCTGTCCTCCAACAGAGACGTCGGGTTCATGCCCCTCCGCTTCAGCTCCTTCATGAACAACGACTCCGGCGGCTCCTCCCCTGTTCCATCGCCCCCAAAAGAGGAAAAAGGGAAAACATTAAGCCACCTAGAACATGAAATTTCTGGAAATAGAATTCCGGCAGTCCGCGAACCATTTGGCTCGCCGCCGTCCTTCCGGAGGCAGCAGCGGAGGGGGATGGTGGAGACCCGACGAGGGAGCGGGGCCAACAGCCGGAAGCGGAGTGTGGGCGAGAAGCTGGATCTGGCGAACTGGAAAGTTGCCATCTTTGCCTTGTTCTTTTCTTCGACGAGCGGAAGACATGGGGGGGAAGCGGGCGGGCGAAGAAAGAGGGGTAGTTGCGAGGTCAGGTCACCTCCATGGGCGGTGAGCTCACTCGCAATAAAAATAAAAGACAGAGGAATGGCGAAAGGTTGTTAACGGATAAGAGCGAAGCGAGGAGGATTCCGCTCTGCCGTACTGACCCAATCACAAAACAGCCAGAAGCAGCACATGATCTGCTCCTGTTGTGGTGGTCCCCATGCATGCCATTAGACGGAGCGGAACGTCAATTCAGTGATATAAAGTGAGGCAATATATGGGCTCCCAATCGGGGAGTCACCCTCCCCGCGACTGGACACGAGATGTGGGCCTCATGGGTGGGCCCACTGTCGGCGGCCATTGGCAGGGAACAGGGGAAAGTCTAGCTAGCTGACTTAGCTTCAACACAACCCTAACATCAACCGATCACACAGGCTACAAAGCTATCACGCGTCTTACCCACTAAAGACATTTGTGGATGTTGCAATATATGCACCTCTCTTGCTCTAGAGTTGCTTTGGCCTAAAATTCGGCACCCATTCCCACTCCACAAATGATGAAACGTAGCTTAAATCCTGCCATCAGATGTTCTTTAGATGTATCTGATGTCGCCATGTTGATTCACAAACATCAGGCAACATAGCACCTCAACCTGTAATTCTTCCCAAACAGCTTCTCATTCATTTTCAGTTGTTTCTGCCAAACCGTCACATAGATCTTTGCCGAAGACCCTCTCATCCCCTATAAAATAACAAGGTGTCATATATAATAACAATCACTTGATGCGACAGTATATGCAGATTACTACATGGTTAACTTTGATGCCCTGAAGTCGAATAACCAAAAAGGCATAAAGAAGATATGGACGTCCAAATTGTACATAAATTCTAGACCAATATTTTCATCTACCTGTCACCGCGAAGCGTATTGATTCCTAATCCGGCCCGATCGCCTCACTGGAGTCATGGCATCTTCATCTTTAGAGCCCTTAAGAGAAATTTTATGAAATGTTAGTTTCAACATGTTTTATTTATAACACTAACAGAATAGCAACTAACCACACATACTCTTTTAAAACGAATTAATCTGTAAGCCGTAAAACTTCCATAGAGGACTGAAGAAGGCAGTGTAAAGTTCTTTCTCGAACTTCTTCCTTCACAGCTTGAGGATGCTCAGCTTGTTTCCCAGCCAGGGCCTATAGCCGATAGATAGATGTCACCGTATCTTTTGCTGCTACCAGGAAATGAGCTAGAGTTGATCAGATATGATGTTGATCTTGCATATGTAGGTCCAAACCTTCACTTCTGATTCAGATCGAAGGTCAACATGATGGTGGTCACAGTCACAATCAGAAACAAACTAATCACAGCTTGATTCAGAAGATCATCCCTTTGTACATTTCTTTATTCTTAGATGATTCAAGGCTATTATAATGATTATTATCTTCAACAGATCCACAAACACTTCCACCTAAACTCTCAGCCTCCATATACATAGTAAACTGTAAGTTCATGTCATCCCCTTGGTTATCAGCAGCCTCAAGTTCACCAAAAAAATCATTACAGTTTTTGTGAACTTTTTCAGATACTTGTCCATTCTGATCTTGGAGTTGATGTAGATTTTTGGTTCCTTGTTTTCTGACCCACTGCCGATCACCTTGACATCACTCTCATACTCCTCAGAACTATCATATTCTTCAATATGTTCTGAAACCACACTTTGGATTTCCCTCCTCCTCGACTCAAAATCTGCAGGAATATCTTCTTTCACATGTTCAGAACCATTGCCCATTTCTGTCAACCCCTCAGTTGTTTCCTTCTCCATATTTTCTTCAGTTGCTGGCTCAATTACATGGTTTAGATTATCCAGCCCTCCAGTTAGCTCTGCTTCATTACTACTGACATCAAGATCTCGACCTGCATCCAATATTCTGTTAGCCTCTTCTTTATCGTTACTTGCATGAAGACCTTGATCCACATCTGAGGCCGTAGAGGTCGAAAGATCAATCAAACGAAAACCTTCTTCGGAAGGAGAAACAAGAACAGCAAAACTAGACATGTAATTGACCCACCAGTACTTGGAAGTACTTCCTAACACTAGGAGATTCTTATAAGCAAGTGCAGCCAATTAAGGACTTGGAAGTACCTCTCAAAATTCCTTTAAGCAAGAATGAAGGTGAAACCATTCCAGAATATCGTTAGTGTATATAGAGGCATGTGATTGCTAGAAAACCCAAGAGAAGTGGAGCAACTTTAGGCCTAGCAGAAGTGTAAGGCACCACATCATTGCTTCTTTTTCTGCTCCTGGATTAAGGTCTGGCTTCTGGCTTCTGGCTTCTGGCTTCTCGAAGAGGCGGGGGATTCTTCCTTATTATGCTGACCCAAAGGTTCTGCTTCTTCAGAGACCTCCTCGAACGAAAACAAGGGATCCAAAAGTTCATTATCAATACCAACCTTGAAAAAGTCGATTCTTTTACTGAAGACGGGGATTCGACTTGTAACGAAGGAATCGAGGCCGCACAACAATCCTAGAAGATGGCGGTGCACATTAATGGTTCTTGATTTGGCAATACCCTTTTTTTTCCTTGGGAGTGGCCACAGCTCCGTCGTTGATGGTTCTTGATTTCGCAGATCCCTTTTCTCGCATTGGAATGATCAAAGCTCCCTCGATAATCAAAACCCATTCTGGAATTCAGCCAATTCTCATGTATCTCCGACGCAAACCGACAGCTGCAGCCAGTGGCTCGTTCAGGAACTCTACCTTCCCTCCCTAGCAACTCGAATGAAACAGAAGACCTGACGAACTCGTTCCTCTCCATTAGAATCTTCCTTATCGACGACGCAGCCACGGTTTCGGAAGCAGCAAAAGTCAGTGGCGGCAGCGCGGCATTCTTGTAACCATGAATTCATCGGCGAAAATCTAAAGATATCCGCCTTTAAAAGACGACCCCTCTCGTTCTCGACGTTCTCATTCGGAACAAGAGAAGATGGCGGTGATGGCATTTCTACCAGCAAGATGAAGGCGAACTATCAAGAAAAGAAAACTAAACATGGAAGGGAAAGGGTGGTGGTCGTCCCGTACCTGCTATCTTGGGGAGTGGCGGTGGGCGATCGGTCATGCATTCGCAGTTGACGCTGGAGGTCGGATGAGATAGAGGATATTGCCATTGCCTCCGCTTTCATCTATGGATCGATTAGATACTCAAACAGAGCAGAGGTCTGAGGGACAAAGATTTGGGGCTTTGGCGATGCACGGGGCAACTAAAGCATCTATCTATATATATATATATATATATATATATATATATATATATATATATATATATACATGATGATATATATATATACACATATATATATATATATATATATATGTATTTACCTATAACATATTTATTTAACATCACAATATATCCTCTTTTCACATGATAAATTCTAACAAAATAAAAAGAAAAAAATCTAAAGCACCTGCGAACACATCCCCTTTGCTACATCCATAAAAACAAGTGAAAGAGCAGAAATTGACCATAGCATCTCTTGCAACAATTGAATAGAAGAGAAGAACATGGCTGGAGGGTCGAAATTATAATAGATGATACAAGTTGTCCATGATGAAACAATATCATGATATGGTAATGCAGTCCTATGATACTTGTACACCACACCTCTTCCCATTTCGTCTTGCTTGAGCCAATTGCATCATGGACTATCTCAAGGTCCCAGGCGATACAGGTCATCTCCCATGAAGTACTGCCCATCCATGTAAAGAGCAGTGTTAGGTGCATGGTATCCATCCATCACCACGAACTGCATGTCTTCTGATGGTTTCCAGTGCCTCTTCCTCTGATTTATGAACCAGTTGTTGATCTGCTTCAGATCAAGTCCAGTAGCTTCTGCTAACGCCACCTTCTGAGTCTCCTGTTCATGGTTACATCCTGTGAGACATTTGTTCTTGTCGACTGTGCCTCAACCATGAAAGGAGTAGCACTTACCGAAGGATATGGCCACTTGTAATGCAGCTCCCACCAGTTCAGCAACTGCTGCCGAGCGTCCTTCGGCAACTTCCCTTTCTTCTTCTTCTTGGACAGCTCTTGCCTGAGGCTGCTCAAATATCCACTGTACTTCTTCAGAAGATGGTGCTTCAGCTCTCGGTCCTCAGCAGACGCCACGAGCTCAGGGGGCTCAGCATTGTCAGTGTTTCCATCTTGGTCATCTCCAGAGGAACAAACTCCAAACTTCTCAGCTGTATGATTGCAGTAAAACAAGCAAAGTCATCTAACGAGATAAATCTAACACTTATAAATTTGCTTGTAAAGATCTTCACTTCATCATGCGGAAGCCCAAATATACTGTTCTTGGACTTGAAATAACCTACACCTTAATGAAAACCTTTTCCTCAATGACTGCAGGAAATTACGGGCATTCTGATAAATGCATGAATTTATATGTGATAATATGTACCAATAAGAACCCAAGTTAGAAATGTAAGAAACCTTGATCTGTTGATGTCAAAAATCTTTTGACAGATCAAACCAAAATGATATGTTAATTGTATATCCAACATCTAAGTGTGAGGGCCAAAACTGAGTGTTAGTAAATGGACATGTGCAAAGTGTATTTTCTTATTTCTTTGGGTTAAAGAACAGAAAATTGAGTGGTGCAAATATTCTTATCACATCTAATACATATGTAAGAAAAGAATTCTGAATATGAAGTATATTAGTTCAAAATTAGGGATATATCCATCAATTAACTATACAGTTCTCATATATAGCACGCGGTAACTTAGTACACGAAATCAATCTGCCAGGAAACCTTCAAAGGCACTCAATTGAGTGCTCAAGGTTAACTACCAAACTGTGGATTCATGCTAAAACAGATAGGTTGGTATGCATAATAATCAGAGGAATGAACTATTATGGTTTCGAAATGATTTTTGATAATTCTCACCCACCTACAAGAATCATAGTTTTACAAAATGAACTAAAATTCTTCGAAGATTTGTCTCATAGTTTGTGCAACAAAATTTCGATAACAAGGTGGTTTTTCATTGACCTATGAGTTGCTCAAACGATCTCTCTCGAGGAACATCTAGGTTTAGTAAAAGCTGGAACAAGAGGGAGATTTGATGGAGATTCAACCTTCATCTAGCAGAAGGATTATGTGGTCTAATTACTCAAAGCTACAAGTGTCGAACAGCCTGAGATCACACACAATATTTTGAATCCTGACCTCCATGTTGGAGATGAAGGTACAAAGAAAAAACAAAATACTATGATATGAGTAAAAAAAATCTTTTCGACTCAAGAAAACTGATGTAGTATTTAAAAACAGGAGGATTGACAATAACACTTACAAGATACCAAATACACACACTCTCTATGTATCTTGTTTTATGAATTATGGTCATATTTATAGGACGTAGTGATAACCACTCTATAACTATTAGATCATGAGGTAGTTATTGAAACTACCCTATAACTACTAGATCATGATTGAAGTAGTTATTGAAATCATCCTGTAACTATTAGATCATGATAACTACTTAAATAACTATGAATCAAATCTCAAATCTTAATATTCATTGCATGTCTAATAAAAAGAATTCATTTCATATTGCTACCAACCAGCTGAGATCGTAGTTCTGATAAACCTCAGCTAAAAGGAGACCTTTCTCACTTGCGTTCTCAAGCAGAAAGGCTTAATCAAATTATGTTCTCAATCTATAAATCAAACCCTACGGGTTTGGGCAGAAAGGATGGCATTCTGATGCATTTGCAACGCATTCTACCCCACTGTATCTTAAATAAAGACAAGCAACTTTACTATAACGTGTTGTCGCTCCATTTGTAGGACGGAATTCTGAGGAAAAAAGGAAGTACTAGTAAGACAGGTCGTAGAAGTGAAAACCATTGGAAAACAAACATAAATTGATTAAAGAAGCATCCTATGCTCGCTATATATTACGGAACATATACATGGCAAAGTCTAGAGAGAGAGAGAGAGACAAGATGGCTGTAATATAATACGAGGGGGAATGATGGAGCGATTTTTCTCGAGGTAGGAGTCAAGGTGCCTCCTTGGAACCCTAAGATCACCCTCGTCAGCACTCAAAAAGCGAGCTTTATGAACACCAATCTCTGTCTTCTCTCATCCTCCGTATCCCTAAATATTCACAAAATATACTACTACTATTTCGTATGTACAAGTCATATGCAAGAGATCCGCTAGATTGGAAGGGAGCCGTCTCTAAAGAAGAAGCAACAGAGATCAAACTATTTAACTGTTTGGAATAGCTACTAACTCACCAATTTAGCTCAAGAACCTTTCTGCTAAAGACCATTATGCTATAGGCTTACAGAGATATTGTAAGACTCTAATAAGAACTGAGAAGAGCTGGTTAACTAATAATTAGATGAGAAACCATAGAAGATCTCTCGTTCCAGTCTTGCGTGAAAGAAGGGATTCTCCTCGTAAGATGCACGTACTTCGCCTTCTGACATACGGCAGTAGGTGCACCTCGGCCTTGCACCGTTGAAATCTTCAGTCAGTCCGAGGCCTCATGCTGCTTTAATGCCGCTCATCTTCTCCGTGAGGAGAGAGGCTTAACAGGACCGAAATCAAGTAAGCACCAAGTGTGCTGTACCTTCTATTTCATGGTTGTCTCACTTTAGCAAGATTTAAGGAGCGTGACTGTAATGGCGAGGGAAGCAAGAAGAATACAGGTGAACAAGTACCAATAGTAGCAAAGTGGTGCTTGCACTACCAGCGGACGAGATGCGAACGGAGCCGGTGGTGAGGGCAAGGGAATTGAGCTGAGATTCCATCATTCGGAGGAACTCCATGGCCTCTTGCAGTGGCCTCGTTAGCTCTTCCCTGTACTTGATGAGCATCTCATTGTATGCCTCCTGCAAGGAAACATTACTTAGATTTAGGCAACCAGAAAGGTTGCAGAGGTCTAAGGATGTTAGTCACCATGAACTGATCGAGCTCCGGATCTGTCGGTGAGTCACGGCAGATAAAATTCGCCCGCTGTCTCATTTCTAACTCTTGAGCCACGGCCGAGAGCCGAGCTACCACCTCGGGCGGAGCTCCGACCTGTACCGAACGGTTAACAAGAGAGTGATCAGAAGTACGTTGTGAGGTTTTTAACTAGAAGTGGAGGTCGTGCCTTTTGGCAGTCAATGTAAGCAGCGAGGAGGCTGGAGTACTGAGGGTGGGAGACGATCTTGGCCTTGATGGCGTCCACATCGCTCGGGGGTAAGTGGGAGGAGGAGGAGGAGGCTCCGTCGTGTTTGGCTTGGAGATGGGAGTTCTGGTTGTAATTGTTGCTGAGGAGGGGTACCGGGCTTGGAATGCAGCGACCTTTAGCATCTCCCGAGGGAAGTCCAAACATTGCAACTGTAGCTGCATCGACTGCAGTTTTTTCTGCAGGAGAGGTGGTGCACATCAAGCCTCCCCATAGATTTGCCCCCAGCTGAGAAAATTCCTCCATTCTCCAGCGAAAAAGGGGCTTAAATTGGGATGAAACTCTGGAAAGAGAAAGTAAAGAGAAGGATGCGAGGAGACAAACCCTAGAGAAGCTTTCTAACAGCTAAAGGGAGAAGAGAGAAGAGGAGTGAAGTGGCCAAACGAGATGGGCACACCATGAGAGAGGGAGAGAGGAAGAGGAAAGGCATGGAAGTGCAACTGTGAAACCGTGGTGGTTTGCTTGTTTCACGTCAAATCAATGTAGGTGATATAGGTTTGCAGCTGTGGTAGAGACTGAGATATACGACTCAAAACCAAACAGATCTTTACGACAGAAGCAGCAGAGTGGGAGAGAGAGATGAGCGAAGAACCAGGAACAGTTTGCAAGAGCCACAGCAAATCAACACCACGTGTGTGGGTCTCCGACGGGTTTCGTTACATTCCAAGTGGACATGGGGTCCCCTCTCTCTCTC